GATGGAGACCCTCTAACTTCCCTTGATGATAACGCATCAATGTTAAATTCTTTAAAACCAACTCAAATTCAGTACTCTATCAGAGCTGAACTATTGTCTACAGCGCGGTTGAAACAACCTGGTAACTAAGAGTGAAACTATCAGGCTTATGTTCCATCGTCTCTCGACCAACAGCCGTCGAATGGGATGTGGTTAGTTTCACTCTGTGAAAATTATACTCCAGCACTTCCTACTTGGGAAAGCCAATTTACGCTGAGTTCCAAGGGACCATCATCGGTGACTTGCCCAAGCCATTCATCCGCATGCTACTCTTCCAGTCCTATTTCACTTTATCACCCGGCATCCCCCCACTTCAACATCCGATAGGAAACTCACAATGCTGCTCTCTGAGGTCACTTTGCTCAGTTTAGTCTCATTGTGTCTGGCTCTATGGCCCCTGCCGCAGGAGTTCAACCATGGCAACACGACTGTTTGGCTGGCGCCGTCTGTGGAATTCTCCTTCCAGCCTCCTGTTGCAGATGGCGCTGCTGAGAAGAACAATTTTATCTCTACGTACATAGATTTGGAGGAAATCTTCGATTTCTTCCAAGCATCCTGGTTGAAGAAGAACAAGACTAGAGAGAAACTCATTCCAAGTGTTGCCAAAATAGTGAAAAGGGCTATAAAGCGGACGGGAGCAGAGATATTTAGCTCCAAATTCGTTCCCTGGAAATTCCATCCGCGAAATAGCTCTTTTGAACCTGCGTTGGAGGATGGGAGTGACGCAGTTATCCGTCAAGTAGTCATCAAGCAAGCCTCTACGTATCAATCGGAAGCGAAGATTCGCGATTTCATCCACGAAGATGAGAGCTACAAGATTGAAATTTCCGCTACCGGGGAAGCAACAATTTCGACCAAGACAGCTATCGGGACTATCCGTGCACTTCAAACCTTTAGACAGCTCTTCTACGTACATTCTTCCGGACCCGGTGTGTATACACCCTTTGCACCGATTTCAATATCGGACGCCCCGAAATGGGTGCATCGCGGCATCAACATTGATATATCCAGAAATGCATACACGTCAGCGGATATCAAACGAACCATTGACGCCATGGCTTCTGTTAAAATGAACCGCCTTCATATCCATGCAACAGACTCTCAGTCATGGCCATTGGATATCCCCTCACTACCCTCCTTGGCAGCGAAAGGAGCGTATCATGCAGACCTGATCTGGACATCTTCCAACCTCTCAGATGTCCAGATGTATGGCCTGGAACGTGGGGTGTCCGTATTTCTTGAGATAGATATGCCAGGCCACACAGGATCAATCGGATATGCCTTCCCGGAGCTAGTTTCCGCATTTCTAGCTGATAAGTGGCAAGAGTATGCACTCCAACCTCCCAGTGGGCAAATCAAGTTGAATTCTTCTGGCGTGAATGAATTTCTGGATAAGTTGATGGCGGATATACTTCCTCGCGTCTCGCCATTTACTGGCTACTTTCATACAGGCGGCGACGAGTTCAACCTTAATACGTACCTCCTCGAAGAAACAGTCCGGTCGAACAGCAGAGACGTCCTAAAACCTTTGCTTCAAGCTGTTGTGACACGTCTCCACGACGCGATCCGTAAAGCTGGCCTCACACCCATAGTATGGGAGGAACTCGTAGCTGACTGGGAACTATCGCTATCTATCTCCTCTACCGAAAAGACCAACGTTATTGTGCAAGCGTGGCGAAACTCCTCCGCCGTCAAGGTGTTACTGGATCGTGGGTACCGCACGATTTTCGGCTCGGGCGACGCCTGGTACCTCGACTGCGGACATGGCACCTACATAAACCCTAAACGTGGCTCTATCTCAGTAAAAGATCCATTCGTCGACTGGTGCAGCCCATATAAAAACTGGAAGCACATGTACATCTATAACCCTCTTGAAGGTATTCCGGGGAAACTGCACCATCTGGTTGAAGGGGGTGAGGCACATATGTGGTCAGAGAATGTTGACCCGGTAATCCTTGACAGTTTGGTCTGGCCACGTGCGGCTGCGGCCGCGGAGGTTCTTTGGAGCGGTCCACGAACCGCTGATCAGATACATGATGCTTCATTCCGACTTAGCGAATGGCGTGAGCGTGCTGTGATTGATATGGGCGTCAGGGCTAGCCTAGCTCAATTAACGTATTGTCTCATGAGGGAAGGGAGCTGCGAGCTGTAGGAAGTGGCCGCGAGTTTTGTCCCCGGTTCTGTTTTTGATGTTGAGGTTCTAAGGGATGTCAATTCTGTGGGCGAATATATTAATACCTACGTACTTGATCAATAACTCCATTCTCCGTTATCCAAGTTCCTAGTCATAATTTTGACGTAGTGGCAGAGCCCCCTATTTCAACGTGGGAATGAAAAAAGAATTGACTCCTTTGGTGCCACCAGATGGTGACACAGTATCTGATTTTCCCCAGTAGAGTGGCCAGAGCTCAAACAGTGCTGCGGATAATCACAACGATACAAACTGTTCAAAAGAAGATATCAGGACAAATATGCCTCCCATTGACTATTATTACTTACAACCACTGTCGTCATGGCGTCTATCATCTGGACGCCTGCCCCTCAAACCCACCCGCACCACACAGAAGCGCCCCATCAACACTTTCAATCATCATCTCATAGTTAACTGCCGAGGTTGCAAAACAAAATCAATTTTCACTTTAATCCTTGGGTTTTTAACTCACGAACCAATTGCCGTTGTGCACATCCATTTTTGCGGGGAACCCTACCCAAGCGCGTCTTGGGCTGCATTGACTAGTTATGTAATTTAGCGTTGAAGGGGTCTTGGGAGGACCAAGCCAGACCCGATCAGCCATTTGTGAATTTCGCATATTTGGGATCGGTGTCATAAATGACTCCGTTTCCGAATCGGTGGGGGCGGTTTGCCAAAAAAAAAAAAAAAAAAAAAAAAAAAAAAAAAAAAAAAAGGAGAGAGAGAGAGAGAGAACTCTCGTGACCCGTCTTGGACAATGTCCAGACATTTATATATTCTTTTAAGGATTAATCGTGGTGAGAAGGTATGAAGCGTTTTCTCACCCAGTTGAAGCCGATCTTCTCACCATAGAGATCTCGAATGCTCACCATAGAGATCTCGAATCTGCAGTCGATATTATTGGTGACGATGCGGCCTATCCTTGGTCATATCTTAGTTCATTTTATGTAAGCAAGGATGGAGCTCATATTCATCTCTTCTGTCTTATGATTCGATCGGTACTTTCAACACCAAGCTTGCACATCCATTGCGCATGTAGTTAATACAAAGAACGGCAGCATTAAATAACTACACATGATGTCTCCAGAGAAGAAATTACCCTCTTGCTGCTGGCTCTTGAGGATAGATTTAGCCAAAGGAGAATCCTCAAACTCTGACTAGTTAGCGATAAACTCAATATAGTCACCCCCTGAAATTCACATGTTGTATTATGGCCTCTCTGATTTCAGCAGTTCGCCATCAAATGGCAAGATTGTTTAAAACTTGGACCTTGTACCATGGAAGACATGATTTAGTTGTACGACGATAACTCTTTCGACCTTGAATTGAGACTTGAGCAAGGAGTTATGTCGAAAGTATTTTCACATCTCACTGTTTGCGACCCCATGGGGAAACTTCAATTGAGCATAAACATTGCCCCAGAAGAACTCAAAAGAGTCAGCCTAAAAATTGCACGACCAGCATGCAATGGAGAGTGGTTGAATGACCCCATCCAGTACGTCACAACCTAAACTTACCAATAGTTAGTTAGGGCTGCTTTTCTCATGTGATTTTAACAGGAGGAGCCGACAAACTTGAAAACAGGTGAAGATATCAAAGTGCATTCCAAGGGCTGAGTAACCGTTTTGCATCTTGCCCTAGAGATACCAATGAATACGACTACGCCGGCTCACGGTGCTGCTGCTAACGAGGCAGAAAAGGAGGGGGATAAAGTGGGAAAAAAAAAATGGGTGCAGAAAGTGGAACGGCATCGCCTTGGCCGGAACAGCGTCCCATCCAGCCAAAATGATACGACTGTTAGTAATAAGGCATTAGTTACTTTCAACCCGCTTTTGATTCCCCCGTGAAAGCCAGTGGAAGTTCGTCAGTGTGGAGCGGTTCAGGCCAAATCGCCTCCAAAGCTTCCTCTGCGGTGTGGAATCGTCTTCCTCTGCCTTTCTGGGATATGTGTAATGACTTGCCGTGAATGACCCTTATTTAATTAATATCCCATTTCCTTTTTCTCCTCTTTATATTTCTTTCATAATATTTTTTTAAAAACTTGGTTCTGCGTATGGTTAATTATCAAATTCGGCTGGCACGACTTCGACCTCCTGGTATGGTTGCTAGACATTTAATATCTGATCGGTGAAATTCTGTCAACTTCCCTCCAGAGTTGATTCAACCCACACCACATCAGACTGAGGGAGTAATACCCCGGAGTTCCCATAAGATCTGATAGTGGGGGGTGTACATAACGGCATTTTAATATATCCATATCAAATACATTTCATGAAAACGTCCTGCACAACCGAGGTACAGTTCAACGGGAGGAAATATATTGAAACCCCCCCCCCCCCCCCCCCCCCCCCACAACAAAACTCCATACGCCCCGACAATGATTGTCGAGGAACTTATCACAAACTTGACCCCAACCAGGGCTATCCTGTGGTTATTGGGCTTGGTGGTCATTGTATCATGGATTCGTGGAATTCAGCTCGATCGCAGAGTGAGTCGCTTGGGTTCTCATGCCCCTATCTTTCAGACATATTTGCCATTAGGTCAGTTATTACCCCTCTGATTTTTCAGCTTGCTTTCCAGAGCCTGAAGTTGTTGTGTATCCATGTGCACTGGAAATTGTTGGAGATGATTGCAATATGGGAAGGAAATAAGAAATGGTGATGCCACAGGGGAGGGATCTGATGTTGGAGCGGAAGCCATTGGCATACGTACGTACATTAGGGAGGTGATAATAGTGTGCTAATTGAACATATGAAAAAATATCACAGGCATGGATTTCATCTACAAAACCCTAAAATCATCAACAAAGAAAGAGGACCTTAAATTTTGGGTGGATACTCTGGCCGCCGTGCCTTTACCCAATGGTGATAGTTCCGCTACTGTGGAGATCAACGCACACTCCGGTTTGCGTGTGATCTACACCGTCGACCCAGACAACATCAAGGCAGTCCTCACCAGCCAATTTGCCGACTACGGGAAAGGTGAACGCTTCCATGCGGAATGGAAAGAGTTCCTGGGTGATAGTATCTTTGCCACGGACGGAGAGCTGTGGTCTCAATCGCGCCATCTCATCCGCCCCATGTTCGCACGAGACCGTATTGTTGACACCGAAATCTTCGAAAAGCATATCCAGAAACTCATTCCCTTCTTGGCAGGAAAAAATAATATGCCTGGGAAGGGCAAGGTGGTCGATGTAGGGCCTCTGTTCTTCCGCTTTACTCTCGATGCTGCCACAGCTTATCTCCTCGGTCAGAGCGTTGACAGCTTGAATGACCCGAAAACGACCTTCGCGGAGGCATTCCAATATGTACTCCATCGGCAGTCAGAAATTTTCAAAGCTGGGTAAGTGGGAATACACTTTAATATTCCATGAATTCCAATCAAAAAAATTATAATTAAAAAAACAATTAAAAAGGGGCGGAGAGCAATTTGACACCCTAGTTAGCTTACAAAATAACCCCCCTTAGCCCACTCTCCTTCCTGATGTCGCGCAAGGAATTCCGCGTTAATCTCAAGAGAATGGATGACTTCATGCAGCCGTTCATCGACGAAGTTCTCAGCCTCAATACCGAAGAACTCGACAAGAAACTGTCCAAACAGGAAACCTTCCTGCACGCCCTAGCTCGCTTTACCAAGGACCCTAAAGTCATCCGTGACCAACTCGTTGCCGTCCTGCTCGCAGGCCGGGACACCACCGCCGCAACCCTCGCTTTTTGCCTCTTCGAGCTCTCCCGCAGTCCATCTGTGGTCGCCAGACTGCGCACTGAAATCCTCAACCAGGTTGGGACGGCCCGCAAACCGAGCTACTCAGACCTCAAGGAGATGAAGTATCTGACAGCCGTACTCAACGAGACAATGCGCTTGTACCCCGTCGTGCCTTTCAATGTCCGCCATTCCCTGGCAGACACCACCCTGCCGCGGGGGGGCGGCCACGACGGTCGCTCCCCCATCGGTGTCCCCAACAACACGCGGATCATCTATTCGACCATGAACATGCAGCGGCGTAGAGACCTATACGATCCGCCGCCATCAGCACCAGGCAGCGCAGGCAGCGCAGGCAGCGACGAGAAACAGTCCATCCCATATCTTGACCCCTCGATCTTCATCCCCGAGAGATGGGTTTCTGGTTGGCAACCCAAGCCATGGCATTTCATTCCCTTCAACGGCGGTCCTCGCATCTGCTTGGGACAGCAATTTGCCATGCTGGAAATGGGATATACTGTTTCAAGGATCTTGCAGCAGTATAGTGAAATTAATGCGGTGAATGCGCCACCTGTGGGCCAGGATCCTGTGTTCAAGTTCGATGTTACCCTGAGTCCAGGGCAGGAGTTGAATATGGTGTTTGTCAAGGCGGGAGAGGAAACTGAAGAAACGAAGAAACTGTTTAGATCGTAGTATGTTGGACTGATATGTGAATATATGTTTTTTGTCTTCCGTCTGGTTTAATCTTGATGCGCTTTTGGCCTGCTCTTTTATACTATTTCAAGCATCCTTGAGAAGCGGATGGTTGGATAGCCGGCCCTCAAGCTGTACTGTACATACCTCTCTCTGCCCACGCTTCATCCATCTTCCATGCTCTATCAGGTCCGAAAATGAGATATGAAGGTGTGCTTGCGGATAGTTTTTTGTTCGCTCAGCAAAATATGTGGCTCGCCTATCTGGTTCAACAACAGCTCCCAAGATAGATACTCGGAACTCTATTCCGACCGAAAATCAGCCTTACTTCTCCCTGGCTGAAAGCAATCATGCACTAAATTATCCCAAAATCTCTTTTTTGGAAGGGCATTCCCGCCTCGCGCCACGGCCAAGTCTTTAGTTCAAATTGAAACGAACCCTTTGAGACCGGAAATTGGAAGAACTTCACTGGTTAGTGCTTCAGTCCCTCACCCCAATCATATTGAAGCATGCATCCCCCCAGCCACAGCTAGTTCCCTAAGCGGAGAGATCCAGCCCCTATTGTCGGCCCAATCGTCTTGGATGAGGCGCTCTCGCAAGCATGAGAGTTAAGCAAAACACTGCCCCGATCCTCATGGCCAATGGCCACGCTTCTGCCCCTCCAACATGCCCATCCATTTGAGTGTGGAAGAGGAGGGAAGGCAATGATGATTGACAGCTGGGCGCTTAGGCCTATGAATTCTTTATGAAATGGAGGATGAATTGGGGGGCTTTGGCGGCCAGAATTGTGCCGGGAAGATCCCTTCAATGTTATAAGGAGACAAAATCTCCAGGAAAAGTAATTTTATATTAAAGCCATCTGTTACTGCTCTGGAGAAATCAGCTGTAAAGTATTCAACTACCATTGCCATTGCTTTGTTTGCAGCTCAGTAATTCTACATTGTCGTGAACTATTAGTTCAGATACCCTCCGTCAATCAATATATAGCAACCTTCTCTTTTGCATTAAGTTGCGATGGATCCATCGCAGCAGCAGAACCCGCCAGCAGGTGTGTATCCTGTTCTCATATTTATTACATCATATTGCGAAAATAATCAGAGAAAGCGGTTCCTGGCAATCCAAGATCGCTGGAATTATACCCTTCAAAATCGCAAAATGACTCCCTTCTCCAATTCCCAGAACCACATCAGATCATATACTGACCTGATAATCATTCAGGTGTCCCTCAGCAGCAGCCGCAGCCTCCTGCTGGCTATGGCTACCCTCCTTACGGCCAAGCCCCTCCTGGTGTTCAATGGCAATATCATGCAGCTCCTCCCGGCCAGGTTCCCCCGCAAGGCCAGGCGCCCCTCCAAGGACAATATTTTCTTCAGGGATATTATCCTCCGCCGGGACAGTATCCACCAGCACCTGGGCAAGCGCCACCACCAGCAGGCCAACATGTACATTATCCTCCTCCTCCTCCTCCTCCTCCTCCTCCTCCTCAACAACAACAACAACAGCCATACGGCGCTCACCCAGGCCAATACCCGCCCCCAGCGGGATACCCAGGTTACCCTCCGCAGCCAGGATACAGCTACGGCGCCCCTGTCCCAGGTCACCCCCAGGGCACTCAAGTCCCGGCAGCGCCCTCACCGGGCTATGATCCTGCCCATGTCGCAACAGGTGACATGACCGATGAAGCTCGAAAGATAAAAAAAGCCATCAGCGGCTTCAACACAGATGAATCCAAGCTCATCCAGATCCTCTCGAAGCCGGATCCTCTCCAAATGGCGCTCCTGCGCCAAACATACCGGCACGCTATCGGCAAGAACCTCGAAGAGGCGCTGGCAGAGAAGCTGAAACGAGACTTTGGTGATACCATCCTCGCTCTCGTCCGCGGACCCCTGAGGAACGACGTCGTATACCTCCGCAACGCCCTCCCACCACAAACCGCCCAGCCAAACCCAACCCCATCCTCCACCCACGCCCTGCTGGACGACGTCCTCCTCCGCCGCTCCAACGCAGACATACACGCCATAACAGCCGCCTTCAAAGAAACCTACAAGACCGATCTCCACACCCACCTCACCCCGACAAACCACATCAGCGGCCCGCACCACACGCTCTTCAAACACGCCCTCAATGCCCAGCGCATGGAGGAATGCACCGCGCTAGACCCCGCCCTCGTCGAAGCCGACGCCGACAGATTCGACAGAGCGCCCAGAAACATCGACCCGGGCAGCAAGGAGGAGACGGACCTCGCCACCCTCCTCGCCCAGCGGAGCGACAACCACCTCCGCGCCGTCAACGCGGCCCTCACCCGCCGCCCAGCCTTCAGCCCCGCCACTGGAACCATGACCTTCGTGAAGAAGGTGAAAGCCATCTGGGCGCGTCCGGATCGGAAGCTCATGCGGCGCAGCGCGTTGTATGTTGTCCGTGGGGCGCTGGATGGGCCGGGGACGGATGCGCAGATGCTATACAAGTGTATGAAGGGGATGGGCACGAGGGATTCGTTGCTGATCGCGCGGGTTGTGAGGCTGCATTGGGCCCGGGGGGGTGGGAGGGTGGGCGAGGTCAAGGCGGCGTATAGGCGGAGGTATGAGCGGGGGCTCGTGGAGGCAGTGGAGAAGGAGACGAGCGGGGATTATGAGAAAGCTCTGGTTGCGTTGTTGGACGGGTAAATACTAAGCAGGATGGTGACATTAACCAGGGCTTTATGTGATGATGTTTTTATGACGTTTACCATCTCTACTTTATCTTGCTGCTTCGAATTTTAATGGCTATTTCTGTTTCATTACTCATTTCTTCAATTGATCTCCCTTCCCTGCAACAACAACAACAACTACAACTACAACAACAAACCTGTTATTCTCCTTTCATGACTCACTCTCCTGGCATTTCTCACCTTCCAACCTTCTTGTACATGCCTCAAGCGACCCCCTAGTATCGTGAATATAATTTAGAAGTTATCGGCCCCATACCTACAACATCACCTGCCTTCAACCTACCACGAGAATGACTCACCCAGCAATTCAAACTCGAACACTAGACATTCGACCCCCAGACAGCAGACACATAACTAAAACTTGGAATTAAAACTGAATCCCACCTCATCGGGAACAAATCACACCCATGATACTCAACACAATCCAACTTCGAGTCTAATCCATGTACTCTTTTATTCCTGAACAAAGTCATGGTATGGTACACAATTACTGTCATGTCCATTCTAACACTATGTAATACAAGAAGAAAAACGAAAGAAACACCATAAAAAAAAAAAATAAAAGCCATAACACCTGCAAAACCGCAGGACGATCGGATCGATCCATAGTCCGGATCAGATCAACATTCCAGCCAACTGACCAAATCATGCATAGAGAAAAATCACACTCACAAAGGGTATTGAAACTAATAATTCGACACCGTCAAGAAGGAGAGAGAGAGAGAGAGAGAGAAAGACAAGAGAAAACAAACCTTCAAGAGAAATTTTTCTTAATAAGCCACCCACCAAACCAAGCACATAAAACAAAGATCCCAGATTTTAGTTAGCCGTTCTAGTCGCTGCCGTCTAAAATGTTGTTGTATAAAATATACAGAATTGCATAAAGATCAATCTCCTCGTCCCCTTAAATGAGCCCGTCATCGTCACATATTTCATCTTGGGGTAGTTTCAGTTTCAGTATTTTTTTTTTTTTTTTTTGGTTCTGCTTACCCGTTACAGGAGAGTCAAAGCACCAATCAAGCCACAGACACAAGCAATCCCGTACGGGATACGGAAGTTGCCTATAGCTGCACCGGCTTGGGGTGCAACTGTGCCAGTGGGAGAAGACGATCTTGTTGCAGTGATTATTCGAGAACCAGAAGATGAAGATGAGGATTCAGGGCCACCAGCGGAAGAGGAAACCGAAGATGAAAGCGACGACTGTGAAGGAGACTGGGATGTTCTCTGGAAGAACGACAAGACGAAGTGAATTAGTAAACGCGGAACCAACCAGGCATTTTGAAACAGATAGCATAAAGGGGCGATGCTCACTCACAGAAGCCATGCTTGGCGGTTTGGCTCTCCCAGAGTCGGTGACTATCCAGTCACTGGGGAGCCCTGGATAAGTGGTTATTGAGGGGGCACTCTTGGTGTCGAGTGTATTGCTAGGGGTAGTAGTAGTGGGACGGGGAACCCAAGGATACTCGCTTGGTGGTACATGTGGCATACCTTTGGTGGTAGGAGGGCGGGTGGCTTCTGCAGGGGGGGCTGAAGACTCTACCTGTGGGCCAGTCCCAGGTGTCCCATTGCCATTGACCTTACCACCGACAGCCTCAATGGACTGCCAGGTACCGCTCTTGTCAGAATAGCGGTATTCGCTGCCAGTGGAATAGTCAGTTACGGTAATGGACTTGAGCCCCATGACGTAAGGACCAGCTTTGTAGTCAGTTTCACCACCCGCCCACTCTGTAGGAAGTGTTGATGTTAGTATCGTCGTTGTGTTGGTGAAATCATTCGATTTGCAAGCCATCACGTTATCGTGGGTACAACATACCAATAGTTCCGGGTGGGTTGGAAGGGTCACCACCGGCCCAGACACCCGCCTTAATCTGCATCGGTGTCTGCGGGTATGAAGCTCCAGCCTCAGCGGCCGTCAGCGTGCGGACAACCATGCCGTTGATCAGCCACAGAATGCGGTCCTTGGACCAGTCGATGGCATATGAGTTATAACCATCATGATTGCCTGCGTTGCTATGGAAAGCGCCACGGTTGAAAGTGCCCTGTTGATTCTTTCCAAAGTAGTTGGTCTGGACCTGCGCGTTGTTGCCGCCCAGCCATTCCCAGTCTATCTCATCCAAAGTGTCTGACAGCAAGACGGCGCTGCTGACAATGCCACGGCCAGGGGCAACCTTGATGACAAATTCAACATAGCCAAACATGATGTAGAATTTGGAGACGAGGGTTGGGTTATCACCCTGTTTCACCACGGCGAGGAGAGCACCATCGGGACCGTATGTTGGCAAACCACCCACGACATCAAATCGATCGGAAGATTGAAGGAAGCTGAATTTACCAGTACCACCAAAAGCAGGGTTTGCCGGGCAGCCTGTAAAACAGACAGGCTTTGTTAGTAATTGAGTTGTAGAAAAAGAGTGGTTCGGGAGCGAACGGGAGGGAAAGGAGTTTATCAAAGCTTACTTTTTACCGTGGGATTGCACTCGGTAAAAGTCTGGGCACCCACCAGAGCAGAACCAGAAAACAGGGCCACGGCCAGAGAGGCCATCGAACCCGACAAGACCTTCATGATAAGCAGCAAGCAGCAAGCAGCAGCTCAATGATGGAGATTTACAGTAGAGTAACAACAATAACAACAACAACAACAACAATAAACAGCCACCACCTTGGAAGAAGTTTTCAGGGCGTCGCCGTAGGAAGCTCTGCGAATCGAGGGGGAAGCAGGCGATCTTTACTCGTACCTTTGCCTTGTTGTTGCCTGCACTCGATGTATGTCTGTATGCAGAGAAGAGGTTGGGAGAAACGTAGAGAGACGATACGATGTGGGATGTGGGATGTGGGATGTGGGATGTGGGAAGCAGAGCGGGATGCGGTAGGAGGAGGTTTTTTCACCTTTGTATCTGAGAGAATACGGAGAATATGGCAGGAGCCAGCAAGCAGGCAATGGAGGAAGGAGGTTGCTGAGAGGTTTAAAAGGAAGGCAGGAGCTCTCCCAACCACTGGCCCGCCCGCCGACGCCGACGCCGACGCTGCGAGGAAGTTTCACGTCTGCCACAGGGATACAAGGGGGAAAACTGACTCCCTAGTTTAACTCACTCCCTCCGTTGCAGCCATCACCAACCACCACCACCACCCACCACCACCCACCACCAACCAACTACCACCGCTACCACCGCTACCACCGCTACCACCCTTGGCCCCCTTGGCTCAGGTGCCCCCCTTGGCTCGGGTGCAGGTTGCCTCCCTTGGCTCGGTGCCTCCCTGGCTTAGTGCCGCGGTTGGCCTGGCAGTACCACTCTGGGTTCCCCTGGATGGCGGGTCCGATAAGCTGCTCCATGCTACATAACAGCAATCCTCCCCTCCCCGGGCCAGCGCTGCGCCCAATCGAAGGGTCGACGCAACTTCCAAGAGAGCAACGCCACCAACCCATCGCTGTTCCCTTGGATCCCCCTGCCAACAAGTATCGTGTTCTCCCCAACCTCCGTGTTTTTTGACCGCTCTCACGTTAGCAAATCATTGAAACGGTGCTACTTTCTTTTCTTCCTTCTTTCTCTTTGCTTTTCTTTTCTCCGCAGGCCTACAGAGCTCTGATTTTAAAATAATAATAATAATAATAATAATAATAATAATAATAATAATAATAAATAAATAAATAAATAAATAAATAAAAAAGAAAAACAGGCAATTCCCTGCAAAAATTATATCTCACGCGTTCGTCGCTGGCAAGCATGTATTACGGAGATGTCTCTCCTTGACGGACAAGATAGACAGCAACCGCAGTCTCACGATGGCAAAATCCCAATTCTCAATGTTCTTCCTGTGCCACACTGTTTCTCGGTTAGTGACGTTTTCGGTGGGCAGGTCCAAGATGGGTGGGGCGGATATTTCGATATTCGCTCTCCGCACTCCCAGCTAGCCCGAAATTTATGGAGCTCAAACTTTTCCTCCACCTGATCGCTGCCCCAACTATCAGACAATCGAAAAGAGGTCGAGAAATGTCTTATTCAGCGTCTCGAGCTGCGAGCATGGGCAAAAGATCCGCCATCAAAAAGCAACGATTAACTACAGCTTTCAATCCCTGTATGCCGTTAGCGGTGGGCGATCTTGTCATATTTTCCCAGGCCCCTCCTGACCCCCTTTATATAATCCCCCATCGAATTAACTACCCCTGACCTGGTGTAGGTGAAGTAATCATTGATGTCGGAATGTCGCCTAACTAGTCAGTTAGCTAACTAGTTATGTCATTTGGCATGGGGTTATCAAGCGTTGATCTTGATTTTGAAACAGTGGGTCTTACTAACAAATCAGGCTCAACTGTAATCTTAACTTTATTAATCAAGTTTACTTGAACTACTTAATCGATAAAATATCTCCCTCTTATTATTAATGCAACTGTTTAAAGTAAGTTGTTGAAATTAGATTTTTAATTTATTTAATTTTATATTAAATGATTAAATTAAAATATATATTCAATAAAATATGTTATTTAATTATTATAGTATAATTAATATATAATAATATTAATAAATAAATAATTTGATTTGATTTCAAGTGATAAATTTTTAAATTAATTAATTTTAAATTATTAATTCTATTTCTTATATTTATTTTATTATAATTATAATATATATTCTTATAAAAAATAAATAACTTCATATTAAAATAAATAATTAATTAATTAATTAATAATAAAATAGATAAAAAATTAAAAATTAATTTTATTAAATTACTATATTATATACTTTTAATATATATATATATTCAAATAAATAATTATATTATTTTATTTTAAAATACTTTTTTATTAATTTATTTTTATTTACTTTTTTAATATTATAAGTTGAAATTATATTTTTTATATAAAAATAATTAATTTTAAATAATTTTAAATATAAATTATTATTATTATTATTATAAATATATATAATTAAAAACTATAACTTATCTTATTAAATTAAAATTTTGCAATTATATATATTAATTTGACTATTTGAAAATATTCAAATATCTTTAAACTTTTAAATGAGAGTTTAATTAGTCAATATAAAGTCTTTTAAATTGCAAATAACTCAGCATTAAAAACTTCATATTTCATATTTAAATTTCAAACGTATAATTTATACTTAAGGCATAAGAGATGTTGATAATTGAATTTAACGTCACTTTACTACAATGTTCATCAGATGAAGATAGTCATAAAGGCAGAATAATGAAAGTATTAATCATAATTTTTATACTAGTTATGAGCAAGAAAAGTAGTTAGTCTTATTATGGTAAGATGATCAAGCAGCAGAGGTTTCAAACTTTATGCCTGGCCGAGGTAAAATCCAGCCATCCCGAGGCCCGACTCTTTTCACCACTTGGTCACGTGTATCCGCTCGGCTGTCCAATAAAAGGCATTTCCGTGCCAGCTGAGACCGCAAGGAGGCTTATGTCTGTATTAGATAAGCAACTATTCCACAGCCACAGTTAGTTGAACCAGCCACATATTACTTTAATTTTTCATAGTTGATAATAACGTCAGTGGATGCATCGCAAAACAACGAATCCCGCAGGGAAAATTGGGTTTAATTTTTGGCATAAAAAAGAAAATATTAACAAGAAATCCAGCAGACAATGTGCCCGTTTTATGCATGATCAAACCAGTATTTGTTGAAAGCTTTGGTATTTACAGCTAGCTGGTTTGCTCTCATGGCGGATGACACGCCACTACAGGTTCCAGACTGGTTTGGAAAATTGGAATGCATAAAAAATCGGAAAATAATGCAAAGGGCGGGAGTTAATCTGGACCAATAACATGCATAGGTAGTTCATAGTTACCCTTGTCTTCTGCCGGTAGCCAACTCATAAACCCTAAAAAACAGATCCATTAACAAACACCTTTTGACAAGATGATATTACTAACATCGAAAGTGGAGAGATCCAGGTATGCGGTGGTGTTGAAGTGAGTGTGAGCTGGAAAAATTCCATTTTTCAATTTCTTTCTCTTTACTTACTGTGTTAACTGAATGCGAACAATTTTCATGTTCAGGGCAAGGAAGTTTGGACGCGGGGAGACGACCGTGGAAGAATATTTATATATTTTTTCATTAACCCCGTCCACAAAGTCGCTTGAACTGAAACCATGCCAGGAACAGAAAATCTTTAGAAACCCTTTTTACATTAACGTCAAAAAATAATAAAAAAAAAAGTAATTTATTCTCGAGTTGTTCTACAATTGCTCCTATCACCCCTGACTCATCAATCTGCCGCCAGTCACGTGTATCTCAAGACGCCGCCTTCAACTTTAGCTCCCCGCATCTTGACACATAAAAAAAAAAAAACCGTCGCTGCTCAAACTCATGCCCCTCTTCAACTCAAGATGACCACAGAATTAACACCCCAGGAGAAGATCGCCCTGATCTATCAGAATCTCCAAGAGGTTCTCAAACCGGAGATTATCGAAGATGTTATTGTGCGACAGAACAGACCATTGAAGGTGTACTTCGGTGAGTCCGTCTCGCAAAAAGAATATATTTCGTTACCCCAGCATAATCACCCCATGCAAAGAAAAAAATATATATATATATATATACACTGCAAACTACATACATAAATTCTTTAGCCAAACAGACACACTAACCCATACCCCTCTCACAATGCAAAAAATCCCACAGGCACCGCAACAACCGGCAGGCCACACTGCGGCTACTTCTGCCCGATCGTCAAACTCGCCCACTTCCTCCAAGCAGGCTGCCACGTCAAAATCCTCCTAGCAGACATCCACGGCTTCCTCGACAACCTGAAAGCACCCATTAACCTCGTCAACTACCGCGCCGAATACTACCGCTACGTAATCACCGCCCTCCTCGAAGCCATCCATGTCCCCATCGAGAAACTCGAGTTCGTCCTGGGCAGTGACTACCAGCTCTCCGCCCGATACACCATGGACCTATTCAGACTCAGCAGCGTGGTGACGGAGCACGATGCGAAAAAGGCCGGTGCGGAGGTTGTGAAGCAGGTTGACAATGCGCCGCTGTCAGGGCTCATATACCCGCTCATGCAGGCGTTGGATGAGGAGCATTTGGATGTCGACGCGCAATTTGGCGGAGTTGATCAGCGGAAAATCTTTGCGTTGGCTCTGGATACGTTGCCGCGGATTGGCTATAAGGAGCGGGCGCATTTGATGAATCCTATGGTTCCGGGGTTGGCGGGGGGGAAGATGTCGGCGTCCGATCCGGATTCGAAGATTGATATTTTAGATACGGCTGAGGTTGTTAAGAAGAAGCTTAAGAAGGCGTATGCCGTGCCGAGGGAGACGGAGGGGAATGGGATTATTAGCTTTGTGGAGTATGTGTTGTTTCCCGTGTCGGCGTTGGAGAGGGAAGATGGGAAGGGGAGGTTTGTGGTGGAGAGGAGGGAGGAGGAAGGGGGGAATCTTGTTTACAGGGATATTGAGGAGGTTAAGAGGGATTATCGGGCTGACACGGTAGGATTTCTCTTTTCCTTTGCCTGCTCTTTTTCTTTTTCTTTCTTTTCTATCATATCTTTGAAGCGGTATTTTTCTTTCCCCCAATGCTGAATGCTAGTGCTAATTAACAACAGTTAACACCCCAACTCCTCAAAGCCGCCGTAACAACCGCGCTCAACAACCTTCTTGCACCCGTCCAAGCGGCTTTCCTGGCCAACCCGGCGTGGCAAGAGATCGAGAAGAAGGCATATCCGCCGCCACCTGAACCAGAAAAGAAAAAGAAGAAGCCCAAAGATAAGGGGAGCAGATACCCTGGTAGTGATACGGCGACGAGTGGTGATGTCGCTGCTGCTGCCACTGCTGATGCGAAGGTGGATGGGAAGAAGCCAGATGTTGAGGAGAAGCTGGAAAAGTTGAAGGTTAAGGGGTAGATGGATGGGTAAAGATGCGGGGTGGCATGAGCACGTCTGGCAGTAAGGGGGCTAGAGAAAAGGGCTGGCTGATTGTGCTCTATCTTTTTTATGCGACTGACGACTGGGTCACTTGGGTGGAAAATAGGTGGAGAAATGTAAATGTGGGTACGCGGAGAGGGTGAATAAGTACACGAGACACGAAACATCATGAATTGGTGATAGACCGCCTTCCGCTTTGCTTTTGATGCCATTACGTTATAGAAAGGGGAGTTGACTTGTCAACTTCAAAACGATTCTCAATTCCAAATGCAACTAGCTACATTACTGTCACATCCCATATTAGTTTAAGATCGACATGTGTCTGTGTCAAACAACCGGCCTTCCTTTGTATAGAATAGTGGATACCAAGTAGGTTTCCTCGGGTGGCTTTCCCACCAAAATCTCCGAGGGCATAATGATGTCAGAGTGGCTCCTGCGTCAGTGGCTCCTGCGTCTGAATATATGTGTGTATGATTCTTTCGAACCCCCCTTTCTTGGTGATGAGCATGGCAGTGCTACAGCTAGAGGGGGACCTGTAGCATTCGATCCCTACCCCCGATATACGGCCAAGTACACCTAGGCTTCGGCAGGAACATTGTCACCGCGAGTTAAAGTCCGGAGTTGACGGTCGGCATCTCCTCTCTCGGGTTTGACATTAATAAGTGGGGAATTGAGGTTGCGGTCACGCTACTGTTAGTTAGTCGAACTGGCAGGGGAACTCTAGCTCATGGTCCCAGCGTTAACATCCCAGACAACTCCTGGCGCGAATGCAACGGTTGGAGTCGGAGAGGTGTCTGTGGCTCTGTCTGTGGCTCTGTCTGAGATTGTATACTTGATTGCTGGGTTGCGATTCAGGCTGAACATCTACTTGGCCCCCTCCTGTGATTCATATAGTGATCATATACTCCAGAATTATACTCCAGAATTAGGGAGTTAAATTATGTTGACGTGAGAGAGAGTCCCGTGCGCTGACACAGCCTTGAGTAAGCGGACACGTGGGTCTAGCGCTTGCTTCGGGACAGGCCGAACCGGCCCCCATCGTTAGTCAGCAGCTGCCGGAACGGCGTTGTTTCGCTGTTTGGCGGCTTGGACATTGCTCTTTCGGGCTTGGATGGGTCATTTCATTCTATCCCGATGTTATCATAAGTCAAACCATCATCAGTCTTCGAACATTATGCTTTAAACACCACCTCCCCATTCCCCAACATACCTGCCTGCTTCATGCTGCTTGGGGGTTTCTTCCGTCGTATGAACGGATGAAGCATAGCTCCTTATTTTAGCCTCTTTGTCCGCCTCACCCCCGTCCCCCTCGCCTAGCTCTTACCCCGTTGTCCTTCCTTTGTCCCCGTATGTCCGGATATATATGCACACACTGCAGGTTCTGAAATGGTTTAGCTTTGGGATACCGTCTGCTCTTCCTCTCGCCATCTCTGTCTCGTCACTGTGTATCCCGTGGCCAACGGATTACGTTTGGAGCCAATGAGCCAGTTGGTTTCACCTTCGTAGCCTTTCCTAGCCTTTCGTATCCACGTATCCCCAACCCGGGATTTGAGCTACTCACAGAGTTCATATTCGACCCCGAGCTTCGTGGCACTTCAAATCATATCTCCCCTACATCCCCCATCCAAGTCCCTTCCACGTCTCAATTCCACCCGCCACCCGCCTTGTCCAACCCAACATCTATCTACGCTGAATATCGGCCGGATGAATCACATCCACTCGCGTCGTCTGAGAGTGTGAGAGGCGAAAGCTTCAACCCCCCGTCCAGCTCTCCATTCCCCCCCACCGGGGCTTTTGATCTCCTTGGAGCGGCCAGAAACTTAGATTTGCGGCAGCATGGCAAGGAGACAGCGGGAGAAAGATAGGAACCTAAGGCGTGGTTCGGAAATGCCAAGTTCTCTCCTCTGGCGGTCCCCTGATGCGTTGCTGATATCGCAGGGTCTTGGCTTGGAAAGGGAACCCCGTCGCCCCAGTAGAGCTAGGGAGATTTCGGATCAGGATGACAGGTATGTTTGATTTCGTTTTTGAAGAAGCAGTTTTGCTTCGTGATGAATTGTTAGGTCCTGTTTGGGCACATCGGAGGCCTTCATTCTGTTCAAAATGTGGGGAAACGCTGTTACGCAAACGTTTTATACTTAATTTTTTTTTCTTTCCAGAAGGCTGAACTCGACATCCAGACACTCGTCGTCCTCAAAGAGTAATCGTAACGCCCCCCATAGGCCACATTCCCCCGATGTATCCCCAACAGACGTACCGACAACCAGCTTTGGAAACCATAAGAAAGCCCTTGCGATTCTTGGCGCATCGGATGACCCATCAGTCTCGCAAATGTTTCTACAATACTCAAGCACAAATGCTCGGAAGCGGTCGCCATCATGGACACCACCCGCATCGTTAAAAACGACGGCTACTCGGGGAACCTTCTTTAACGATGGTTCTGATGCGGAGGAAACCTCCCCTCAATTTCAGCTGGAGGCTGCCCTAACCGATCCCAGTAATTCCCCAGAACCCGTCCATGACGAACATCGCAGACCGTCCGTTGCTAGCGCCACTACTGTTAGCAGTCAAGGATCGAAAGGCAGCGGTGGTCGTTTCCACAAACGCCTGCGCGGTCTCTTTGGGGATGAGCATGGCAGCGCGTCAGATTCGGCTCTCCCGGAGCGGAGTCTGTCAAACCGAATTCCTATGTCATCTGGCAGTCAATCAAAGGTCCGTGAAAGAAATAATTCGACCCCATCTTTGCACCCCCCAGAGCGTTCTCCACCCCTTGGTCGTGGCTTCCGACCATGCACTCCTCTACCTTCCAGTGATGTTACCCCTTGAATGTATCAAAAGCTCAATCTAAGATGGCACGAAAAGTTCCTTCGTTAATCGGAACTTACTTCAAGGGAAGCCTATATGGTTTCCTGTCGTTACATGTTCCCAACTGCTTCCTTCGTAAAGTCTTCTGAAAGTATCTGGATAAAACTGCACGACTTGTTGAAACTGCATATTATTCATCACTAGCTCTATAAACCCTTTCTCCCTTCATTATTTGGTTTGCCCATCCCTTTCTCTACCATTCCTGGCTCTCTATTTCTAATTAGCACCCCTCAGGGACATTTTCATTATATTCTCGCCATTTCATTCTGAATTATACTCGAAATTTAAGCTAATGTGGGATTGTAGGATATATCAAACTATGGAGATGCACCTGTGTATCCAGTTCCAGGAGACCCGGATGTTGAACGCTTTGGTTCCATGACAGATGGCGAGCGTGACTCAAAGAAAGATTCTCGTCTTCCTTTCCACAGACATCGGCATGCTCGGAGTAAAGAAGAGAAGTTATCAGACCAAGGGTCTAACTTGCAACACATTTTCAGATCTTCAGACCATGACAACCACAAACAAGTGTATAGTAAAGTAAAAGAGGGCACCCTCTCTCCAACTATCCCCACCGCTCTAGGAGCCCGCTCGATCAGTCCTTCGCCTAGTTTGCAGGGCGGCAGTGGGCAAGACTCTCAAGGGACAAGGTCGCCTGGAGGTTCATCCAACAAGCGATCATTTTTTACGAAGATTCGACGCCATCCAAAACCTCCAATCGGGAGTAGTCTTCGGGGTATGCCATCTTCGAAATCTGCCTACGACGGTGGTGGGAAGGGATCTAGGTTTTTGAAACGAGATATGTCTCCTGCTAGATATGGTCGGAATTCGAGCTTTGATAGTGTCACCAATACAAAGCCGTGGGAAAGTGTCGAGTCTGACCGCAAAAAGGAGTCTGCGAAGGGGGTATCCAAGTTCCGCCATCCGCGTTTTCCGTTTGGTCATGATACTGGAAATAAGGATGACAAAACACACCAAGATAATTTTGAACAAGATCGGATCTGGAAGTTAGATACCGATCTGACAAATCTCTCTGGTATCGTCGCACAACCTCAACCTTTATCCCCTACCGATTGTGGTGGTATATATACTGGAACTCCACTTCCTGAGCATAAGGAAAGAGAATTCCGCAATCCCTTTGAACCCTCCAGCACTGGTGACTGGCATGCTCCAGAGAGCTGGGCTGTGAGGAAAGTTGGGGATGACATTTTGTCCCGGCTTCCTGAGCTCACTGATGATGGCGGGGCGATGGTAGACGACGAAGGGCGACCGTACTGTGTCCGCATCTTTCGCATCGACTCTACATTTACAACTCTTTCCTCTAATCTGAACACTACCGTGACCGAAATACTGGAAATGCTTGGCCGCAAGTCGTTCTTGCAAGATGAGCTGAATAACTACGATATAGTCGTACGGAAGAATGACCTTTCAAGAACTCTGGACTACGGGGAGAGGCCGATTCTCATGCAAAAGAAATTGCTCGAGCAGGCTGGATATCAACCATCCGACCGTATAGCGGATATTGGTCGAGAGGATAATAGCTACCTCTGCTGTTTCACATTCCTTCCCACGAAACTTTCGGGCTATTCGAGTCTGGATGCTGACTTGGGAATCAACGAGAACCAAAAGTTTAGCCACGTCGACTTGCACGGGCGCAGTCTCATCACCCTGCCCATCACACTCTATAAAAGGGCGAGTGAGATCATATCCTTGAATCTTTCGAGAAATTTAGCCTTGGATATTCCGAAGGATTTTATTCAAAGCTGCATCAACCTCCGTGAATTAAAATATATCGGAAACGAGGCATGGCGTCTTCCGGCAAGCTTAAGCTTGGCGACGCGGCTTACATATCTAGACATATCCAACAATAGGCTTGAACAGCTGGATAATGCAGAATTACACAATTTGCATGGACTTGTCAGCTTGAAAATGTCGAATAATAACCTCTCGACGCTGCCTGCTTATTTTGGAGACTTCCCTGCATTACGAAGCCTGAATATTTCTTCCAATAGTTACCGCACTTTTCCCGAGTGTTTATACAATCTGAAGAGTCTCGTTGATCTTGATATCAGCTTCAACAAAATCTCCGAGTTGTCGGATATTGGACGCCTTACGACACTGGAACGGTTATGGGTGACTAACAATGGCTTGCATGGCCCGCTGGGTGAGACTTTTAGAGATCTTGTCAATCTCAAAGAGATAGACGCACGATTCAACAGCATCACTAGTATAGATAACATCACTCACCTTCCACGACTAGAGCGGTTGTTGATTGGCCATAACAGCGTGTCCACATTTTCAGGCTCTTTCATGAAGCTGCGCACTCTTGCCCTGGACCATTGCCCAGTCACCGAGTTTGATCTCACTAGCCCCCTTCCGACTCTCACCTCTCTCAACATCGCGTCAGCCAAACTTGTTCAATTCAAGGATACCCTTTTTACCAATATCCCACACCTGACCAAACTTATTCTTAATAAGAATCATTTCGTTACTCTCTCCTCCTATATCGGAACCCTCCGAAAACTTGAGCACTTCAGCATTTCAAAAAATCCCCTGTCAACTCTTCCACCGACGATAGGATGTCTAACAGAATTGAAGTGCCTCAACCTACGCGAATGTAATCTCAACAAACTCCCTTCTGAGCTGTGGTACTGTTCTAAACTGGAGACCCTGAATGTGTCGTCTAATGTCCTTGACGCCTTTCCAAAGATCGCTGGCTCACCTCCTATTCCTCCAAACGAATATCATGGAAATGGTACTCCCGCAACCACTCCTGGTCTGGCTTCGCCAAGTCACGAAGAACTTGGAAAGCTGGAGGATTTCGAAGCCAGACGACCAAGTCATTCCTCCAGTGGTCTTCTGAGCGTGGCAAGTTCCTCCGCTAATTCATCAAATAGAAAAGGCTCAATTGTCTCGATGCCTCATAACCCGACTGTAAAGAAGTCTTCTGTCATATCTCGAGCTGCAACTGAAACCCCATCCTCGCGCAAGGATTCAACCTTCTCGCAAAGAATATCGTTTACGTTTGCGGGATCTCTGAAGCAACTTTATCTTGCAGACAATCGTCTTGAAGACGATGTATTTCAACAGTTGGCCTTTTTGGTGGAAATCCGCATCTTGAACTTGTCCTATAACGAGTTGACGGAGATTCCGCAGGGTCTCCTTAGACGGTGGCAGTATTTGGTGGAGCTGCATGTCTCAGGAAATCAACTGAGCGCGCTTCCCTCGGACGACCTTGAAGAATCAAGTAGTCTAAAGGTATTGCACATAAACGGCAATAAATTCCAGGTACTTCCTGCGGAGCTCTGTAAGGTGAATCGCCTTGCGATTTTAGATGTGGGGAGTAATTCTCTAAAATACAATGTTTCCAACTGGCCGTACGATTGGAATTGGAATTGGAATCGCAATTTAAAATACCTGAATTTCTCGGGCAACAAGCGATTTGAGATCAAACCCAATACCTCTTATACTTCTGGGATTCCTGCCGTTAATAGCACAGATCTGACCAACTTCAACTCTTTGAAACATCTTAGAGTCCTGGGGTTGATGGATGTTACTCTTACTATCCCTACCATCCCTGACCAGACTGAGGATAGGAGAGTGCGGACGTCATCATCCTTGTCTGGCTCTCTTGCGTATGGTATGGCAGATAGCCTTGGGCGAAACGAACATCTATCAATAGTTGATATGCTTGTTACTCGGTTCCGAGGCAACCAGACGGAGACGGTTCTCGGTTTATTTGACGGCCAGTCCTCTTCTAGCAGCGGATCAAGGATAGCGAAATACCTTCAAGAGCACTTCACTACATCGTTTACAGAAGAGTTGAAAAAGCTTCGTCCATCAGGAGAAACCCCGCTCGATGCACTGCGGAGGACCTTTTTGGGACTCAACAAGGATATAGCTACGGCTGCTCAACGGTCTTCCATGGATGATCGTGAGCTCCATCATTTTGAACGTGGGACAACAACATCTAGCAAGCTGCTCACGAAGGATGACTATAATCTAGGAGGCGTAGCGACTGTCCTGTACCTGCAAAATATGGAGTTGTTTGTTGCAAATGTTGGGGATGCTCAAGCGGTTCTTGTGCATTCGAATGGGGATTTCAAGTTTTTGACTTGTAACCACGATCCTGCTGAGGCTTCGGAACGGGAACGTATACGGGCAGCTGGCGGGTTTGTTTCCCGCAATGGAAAATTGAATGATAAGCTATCTGTGTCTCGGGCCTTTGGATATTACACAATGATGCCTGCGGTTATTGCGGCTCCTAGCACCCGGAAAGTTACTTTGACCGCCCAGGACGAAATGATAATTCTTGCGTCAGGCGAGTTGTGGGATTATGTTACACCGGACGTTGTTGTTGATGTTGCAAGATCTGAACACGGAGACTTGATGATTGCCTCTCAGAAGCTTCGTGACTTGGCCATTGCCTATGGTGCTACCAACAAAATCATGGTGATGATTGCTGGTGTCAGTGATCTTAAACGACGGGGTGAACGTCCCAAGCTCAGAAGTCACAGTATCTCCATGGGACTGTCTCCATTAACTGACGAACATCTCTTCACCACACCAAGTAAGATCAAGAAACGTGGCAGACCAGGCGACTCCAGGTTAGCACGTTTGGATCGCGTGGAAGCCCCTACTGGCGAATTGGCGATCATTTTCACTGATATTAAGAAATCCACGTCGCTTTGGGAGACGTATCCCGTTGCCATGCGCTCTGCAATTCAAATTCATAATGATCTCTTCCGTCGACAGTTGGCTCAGATAGGTGGATTTGAAGTGAAAACAGAAGGTGACGCTTTCATGGTCTCCTTCTCCACGGCCACCGCAGCGTTACTCTGGTGCTTCACCTGCCAAAGCCAACTTCTTGAAGCGGAATGGCCGACGGAGATCATGGAATCTCCTGCTTGCAGGCCACAGTATGACTCGGATGACAACATCATATACCGCGGGCTGTCTGTGCGAATGGGAGTACACTGGGGAACGCCTGTCTGTGAACAAGATCCTGTTACTGGTCGAATGGATTACTTTGGCCCCATGGTAAACCGTGCCTCCCGCATTTCCGCAGTTGCGGATGGTGGGCAAATCTTCGTTTCAGCCGACTTCGTTGCTGAAATTCAACGGAATCTTGAAACATTCGCGGATTATGATCGGATCGGCTCTATGGATTCTTCTGAGGACAATTACATTGACGACTATCTCAACCACAATATCCGTCGCGAGCTTTATCAACTAAGCACCCAGGGCTTTGAGGTAAAGGATATGGGTGAGCGGAAACTGAAGGGGCTTGAGAATCCTGAATTCGTTTACTTGATGTATCCACACTCTCTTGCTGGACGCCTCAACGCTCCACGGGCCGAGATTGAAGAGGCAGACACACTTCCCATTCCCTTGGGTCAAGACAAGCATCTCAGTATTGAAGCGGATCTAGTCTGGCGCCTGTGGACTGTTGCTTTACGTTTGGAGGCATTTTGCAGTGCCCTGGAAAATTTCGGAGAGATTGGTCTTCGGCAGCCGGAGATGGGCCTGATTGATGCAGTCAAGCAGCGCCCTGGGGAACTTTCGGATGCGGTAGTGTTGAGTCTAATTGAACATCAGGTTACGCGGGTGGAGGTGAGTTACTCTTCCCCACTTACACTACTATTCTATATTGTAGACTAAACTAACGCAACGGAAACCCGTTATAGACATGTGCAAATACCCTCACAATCCGGCACATGATGAGGCCTTTCAAACGCGGAAACTCTCTCAAAGATATCGCCGTTCCCATGTCGGATATTCTCAATCAGTTGAAGGTGCAGTTGAGCGAATTTAGAGCTCTAAAGGAGTCAATAAGTCCCATCGCCGACTCTCAGGATCCCCAACAAAGCCTTGCGGTGTTGAAGAGCCCCATACAGAGCTCGTCAGCCTTATCTGATATTATGGCCGTTGGTGGTTCTAGTTCTTCGAGCACGGCGTAAAGCTTTATAAAACCTGCCACAGGAACAGCTGCTTTATGAATGGAATCGAAGTCATTGACATCAATTCTTTTATGCTCTTACTCAACTAGCGCCGATCGGATTGCAAGTCGTCCGGAGTTATTCTCTGTTCCACCCTTTTTTTTTTCGCTTCCCCCTTTTCTCTTTCGTCCGCTTTTGTTCTCTTTATCCCGGCCGTTGCCTATGACTTGATGTCCGTTTGATTTAATTCGTGGGGAAAAGCAGCGTATTTGGAATTTAATTACCACCTTGCCGTATTACTTTCTGCCATATTTTGGTTTATTTTTTTCATTTACTTTATTTACTTAATTTTGGGTGTGGGGGGTTTGCGTCTGTTTGCTTGGTACGATCGATATTGTTTCCATAAAGTGCTTCTTTCTCTCTGGCCGGTTCCATCGTTCATTTCTGGGATTACACCATTTTATTTTTGCTAAGATCGGCGTATGTGGCTGCTGGAAATGAGGAGTATATTATCTTATCCCCATTTATCTATCATTATAATTTGGTGAGCCTTTGGTATACTTACAGGTAATTTTGGTGCCAATGAAGGAATTTTTTTGCTCTCTTCGTTTTCGTGCAAAAAGGGATCCGTGGCTGGTGCAGGATGACGTAAAGTCACATGACATACCTGACCTGTGGAGTTAATATGTGGCGCGGCGCCGCGCATCGCATCTTGTTTTTTGTTGCTTTCTTGTTGTCGCCGCCATCCAAATTGCATCAAAGCTACATCTCTCCACTCCATCATTCCATCCAGGGTCTTTTCAACTTGGCCTCCGGATTCGTCTTCTTAAAATACACTCTCTTATCTGCAGCTTTTGGTGCACGTGAATTTGTATTGATGCCGTAGTTGCAGCGTGGATTTTTCCTGCTGTTGCCCTGGATACGGAACGCTTCACACGCACTTAATTTATGGCTCAACCTTCTTGAGTAAGCGAAACAATTTTTTTTTTTTTTTTCCTGAGAGATACACCGCTCACAAGCCAACACAGGTAGAGTCCTGCTCCCGTGATAGACGTCAACCCATTCTTTACCTTTTCCTGTGACGAACGATTCCTCGGTGGTGAGCAACTAGTTCATCACGTCCCATCATGACTTCGGATACAGATAACAGCAACCATGAGCTTGCGTACCTCGGCCCGGGTTTCGATCTTAATTCTCTGACGGTTCCCCGTATCCGCTCAATTCTAGTTAACCATGACGTTTCCTATCCGGCATCTGCAAAAAAATCCCAGCTCATTGAGATTTTGGAAAATGAGGTGCTCCCACAAGCTAAAAGGCTATTACGCGAGCGTGACCGAGTGAGGAGGACCAGTAAGGGTATTACAAACATGCCTGACAATCAAACATCACTACAGGATGAGGATCAAGATCAAGTGAGAGAATCGATGCCTCCACCATCTACACCGTCTATGTCACGGAGGGGCAGGTCGAGACCCAGCACGAGAGCGTCTACGGCTGAGACGGATGACGGTGCTCTTCCCCAACAACCGCCACCCTCATCTTCCAGAAAACGGACGACGGCCAAGCATCCTCGAGCATCCGACACAGAAACGGGAGAAGACATTGGATCCCTCAGAGAAACGCCTCGCAGAACAACGGCTCGGAAAACACGAAAGAGTGAGGCATTCCCAACCCCTCGCGCGTCTGCTGCATCTGAGGCGTTGCATTCATCGCCCAGACCCAAGTCCCGAGACAATGCTATTTTCACCGATGATAATCCGTTCCAGAGTGGAAGCTCGCCGGTGGACCCCGGTTTTTCCCGAACGAGGACTGCAAGCAGGGAACCAAAACGGAGAAGTGGGAGCAGATATTCTTCGGAACGAGCAACTGCAGATGGCCATGGCCGGAGACTTAAAAAACAGGAGAAAATAAAAGTTAAGCAAGAAGAGGACATCGAAGTTCCAACCAGGTCAACTTTTGAAGTCCCTGGTGCCCGGTTGATGACTCCCAAAGCCGAGGAATCGGAAGATGATGACCCTCTCGAGCCTGGAGAAGATTTTACTTCAGAAGAATGGAAATCCCTGGCGAAGGAGCAGGCGGCTAAAGAGCACCCAGGCACAGGTTCAGGCTCCATTGTCCGCAGGCGACAAGCGCAGAAACAGAGAACGTTCAGCAGGGTCGCTCCTTGGGCTGTGATCTCCACGCTGTTGGGTGGATTTGGCGCTTGGTGGCGTCAAGAAAAGATTGAGATTGGCTACTGTGGAGTAGGGAAACTACATTGGTCCTTGGCTGACACTAAGGTGCCCGAGTGGGCGGAGGTTCTCGAACCAAAGTGTGAACCCTGTCCTCAGCACGCATTTTGCTACCCCGATTTCGAGGTTAGATGCGAGCATGATTTTGTCCTAAAACCACATCCCCTATCCCTCAGAGGATTGGTCCCCCTCCCACCTACTTGTGAGCCTGACGGAGAAAAGGTACGCCGTGTAAAATCGGTTGCTGATAGAGCTATTGAGTTATTGAGGGAACGAAGAGCACGCTGGGAATGCGGTGAAACGGGTAAAGCGGACGGAACTGAAGTTCCTTCTCCGGGAATGACCGCTTCCGAGCTTAAGGAGGAACTTACCAAACAGAAACGGAAGGGAATGAGTGACGAGGAGTTTGAGGAGCTTTGGAGAAGGGCTAATGGTGAAATATTCAATCGTGAAGAGATCGTTACTTCTACCCAAGGGTAAGGATTTGCCGGTTTTTTTTTTTTTTTTTTCAAAACTATTACGTTTCATGTTAGGGGTTCCATTCGAAGAGACCGAGCCGTCGCCAGATGCGGTACTCAGTTATGTAAACAAAAGGAACCTCCTAGCAGAAAGAACCTCTTCGTCCTGCATTCCTCCGATGAGTGTCCGAAGAAATTTGCTACTATGTCTGACATGTGTATTTAACCCGACTAACAGCACCCCTCGCGAAACCACAGTCCATCCGACACCGTTATCTACGCCTCAACATCCCTATCCCACCTATCTCTCAGCTGCGCCTTCCGACGACATTTACGACTCTCTCTCTTCGCGTATCGATTCCCTATTTTCTTTCTAGTTCTCCTGATCGCTGTAGCGACATATGCCCGCTCGATGGTCCTTGCCCGTCGCTCCGACGCTGCCCGCATCCCTTCACTGGTGAATATGACCCTAGACCGCCTTGCCACGCAAGCAGCCTTGCATGCTCGCGGCGAAGCGCTGGAATCGTGGATTTCCGTTGGCCAGTTGCGTGATGATGTTCTGCGGGATGAGCTGAAGGGGAGTCACCGGGAGAGGTTGTGGAAGCGCGTTCGGAGCTTCGTGGAGGGGAATGCTAACGTTCGTGCGTCGGTGAGAGAGGGGCGGACGGGGGATGTGTCCAGAGTTTGGGAGTGGGTTGGAGGGATTGGGGGTGTTGGTGGGGAGTTGGGAGACAGTGCGGTTAATAAAGGGAGGGAGAGCAATGGCGGTGCCAAAGTGCGGTTTTCTTTATCCGCAGCGGAAACGAGTGGAGGCAGTCCTGCAGCTGGTATTAGGGAGATGAGGAAGTGGGACGAAGGGAGGCCTATTTATTGATATTTAAGGCTTTTAATATTTGTATTCTGTTTTCTTTTCTTGCGTCCTTGTAAACATCTCTACGTCTCCTTTTGTTAAGCAGGTTTTGGGTATATGTTGTGTTTTGATGTTAAACGGCACACTCTTTTATTTATTTATTTATTTATTTAGCTTCAATGCCTTCTATTCCATTCGTTATCTTCTCTTTCTTGAAATTGCTGACTTGATTGTTTTATATTAACCTACCACAGTCACGAGAAGCCCTGCCATCTTTCTGGTTTGTATATTTGTGAATGGACATGTTTCTTCATGTGCTCTTCATCAGAGAGAATAATATGTTGTATTTTATTTGTTCCTCTTTCCTTTCATGTGTCTCTTGATGCGTCTCTTTAATCATTTCATAGCTTGTTGTATTTCCTTGCATCATCTTAAATCCTCATCATGACAAGAGCAGCTGTGTCAATTTGTTATATTGTCATGATTATTTATTCTTCATCTGTCAAATCAAACTGCTTTCTGCATCTTCATAGAGAAATTCATGCATAACTACTTCAGTACATATTGTTTGTACCAAGAACACCCCGAGCGACACCCCTCACGTGATATCCGTATAATTTAGTTATATGAAAGGCTTTTCCCTCCCCAATATGAGATCAACCATCCCACAGCAAGCTTGCAGTGAAGATTCAATACGATTCCGCACAATTGGCTAGGTCGAACATAATCCAAATAGCTATATGCATATTCGCCTGGATCTGATAAACGGCTGTCTGTGGTTGGCTGTGCGATTGACGGAGCAATATACTCTATTATAACTTAGTTTATGGAACAGACATCCCGAAAAATAAAACCCCCTGGCGGATGTTGTTGTTAAGAAGGCACAAAAAAGGGACGAGGGACAATCACATTGGATCACCTGATCTCGAACGGGGAAGTCGTTCAGGCGAAGGACTTGGATAAATCTTCATGCCGTCTGTAACCCAACCAACCCCGTACAAACTGAAATCTACCAAGGTTGGCAGCTGGCTGTGAGGCCCCATCCGTGGAATCTCTCTGGCGCTTATTTTTTGGGGTGGCCAACGCCGTGGATAGCCGTCTGGCTTGTTCGGCGATTGGGGGATAAACCCCCACTTTGGGGCTCGAAACGAGAACATGACAAATCTGAGAGTAACGAACTAACTAACTAGTTAACTAATTAACTAGTTAGTTAATGTATGATAGTTAGATAAAGGCACATTTGATGTTTTCATGACCGTTTTCAGCATCGAAAATTTTACCGCTGGTTGAAGTAAAAAAAAACGAGTCAGGTACGGAGTTGTCAAATAAGGATGCAGGAGGTTGGTTAGGGTTTAGGGTTAGGGCTCAGGGTTAGGGTTTCTTATTTTTCTTTTTCTACTTTCCGTTCCTCCTTGGATAAATTCCTTTCAACTGTTGTACGCTCGACAGCTCGGGCTTCCTTGCTCAGTGATCGAGTTTTCAATTACAATACAAACCGGGATTGATCAAGGCACTGAGAGACACGATGCTTGACCTGATGGGAAAGCATCGAATCAAAGAGCGATATGGCACAACGACCTGGGCAACGCTGGCCAAACGTTTCACAAGCTTAGGGTGAGGGTGTCTGTATGTGTACATGCTGCTCGCATCAACCGTGCTTGGGTTCTGCACATACATTACTTCTGCATCTACACGCGCTGCGCATGAACAGATAGGAACACGCGAACTCATCTCCTAGTCATTCAGATACAAAACGTGGGGGATCCATTGCTACTGTCCGGCAGCACTGCATCCGGCCGCAGTGACGCTGTCACCCCTTGAAAAGGACCATCCCGGACTCGATCTCCTGCGAATTTGATTATCTTCTGGCCATTGACTGATTCCGCAGATGTATATGGTTGCTCAGCGAGGAGGGATCCAAAAGAGATTCGTGTGCTGGCCTTTCTTTCGGGGAATGAGAGCCGTTTACAAGCTTGCACATTACATCCGCTTTGTCCGTTTAAAGGGCGAAGTTACATTGCTCCCGAGATATTCTGCGTGGGATTTCAATTGGGGACAACATACTCCGTAGGGTGGCAGGATCTATATCTAGAGCAGAACACGACCATGGATATAATCGGGGGAGGGGGGGGAATTAAACAAAGAAAATTAGGTTTACTGCCCCAAATTAACTAGTTAGTGAATAGAGTTTGCAATTTTAGTTAGCCGGAAAGGGTGAGATAAAAATAACCAATGATTGGGCTAACCTTAATTATCCGACATTGTTCTTCGGAATGCTCCTTTTGGGGTGCATTGAATTTTGTCTCTGAACATCTCGAAAGATTTACTGCATAAAAGATCTAGAATGGATTCTACTTATTAATGTTAGGAATGTATGGTTTGCAATCGCGCGCTGGGGTTCATGGAAAGAAAACAAGGCCGGTTATCCCCAAACACTGCCCACTCCAAGCTCCGCTAACGAGTTCCGCCGCCCGAGTGTGACCGAATAATGTTGATTCGCCCCACTGGTTGAGCTATGGATAACCTAATAAAAATTTGGTAAATATGGGTGAATCGCCCTTCCAAACCAAGGGGGAGAAAACCTTGAAAAAAATTATATATATACTTTTTCCTCTGGTTTTAAGGCTATTTGGCTTTTCAAAAAATTAGAGACCCTTTTATAAGTATTAATTCTTTTCACCCATTGGGGGTCTATAGCTTCCAAAGCAGCTAGCTGGAATATCTCGTCAGGTTACTTTAAAAGAAATTGAACAATAAAACCTCCAAGTAAAACATGGCTCCCATGCCACAAGACAGCCTTTTCGGAGCCTTGAATGTTCCTCAGTATGATGAAGTATTCTCCTTGATGGCCAGTTTTGCTGCCGATACTTCGCCCCAGAAGGTCAGCCTTGGAGCGGGAGTGTACAGAGACGACGAGGCCAAGAGCTGGAGGTTAAATGTTGTGAGAAAGGTATGATTGACTAACCGAGTCCTCTTTGGGAAGAAGCAGAAATGAGAAAGAGTGAGAACAAAGAAATAAGTTGGAGAAACCTTTTCGAACCCCAAACAAGTCGATACGTGCATCCACGTACGAAAGTTATTAACCAGATAACTTAGGCTGAAAAACTACTGGGCGATGACCAAAGTTTCGATCATGAGTATCTTCCAATTCCAGGATATCAGCCGTTCGTGGACGCAGCGAGGGATGTTATATTTGGCACCGACTCCCCGGTCCCCAAGGAGCGTATCGCCAGCTTGCAAACGATTTCAGGAACGGGCGCAAACCACATTGGCGCACGCTTTCTAAAAGATCACCTCCCTCGTCCAGTGTCACCATCATCTTCATCTGTCACTCCAGTGCGCCAAATATGGCTATCAGATCCAACATGGGCAAATCACCATTTGATCTGGGACTTGGTTGAAACAAGCTCTACTGGAAGCCCCCTGAAGACTGTTCTCTATCCGTACTATCATGCCCCAACAAGATCCTTCGACTTCGACGGGATGATGAAGACCCTAGAATCAGGCGCTCAGAAAGGAGATATAATTCTGCTACATGCCTGTGCGCATAACCCTACGGGCCTCGATCCGACAAGAGCCCAATGGATGGAGATTGCCGATTTGTGCCAACGGAAGGAGATATTCCCATTTTTCGACTCTGCCTACCAGGGGTTTGCATCAGGAGATCTCGATAATGACGCTTGGGCTGTCCGGAAGTTTGTTTCCCTTGGAATGGAGTTGTGTGTAGCCCAGAGCTTTAGCAAGAATCTCGGGCTGTATGGCCAACGGGTTGGTGCTTTTCATCTCGTGTGCAGAACGGAGGATGCTGCCCGGAGAGCCAGGGGTCAGATGATTGAGTTGCAAAGGGGAGAATTTTCGACCCCACCTGCATATGGTATGCTTTATTTCATTATTTCCCCTTAAAGCCTCTGGCCAATGTGTGGCCTTGCACGTATGGATGGCACAACGCGTTAAGGCATTTTTCACTGACATTTTAAAAAAAAAAAAAAAAAAATAGGCGCAAGGGTCGCAGCAACCGTCCTTAGAGATCCCGCTTGCTTTATCGAATGGAAACAGGACCTGGCTATCATGAGCAGCAGAATAAAAGCCATGCGACATGCACTGTACGATGAACTACGCCGTCTAGGTACTCCCGGAAGCTGGGAACATATCATCGCCCAAATTGGCATGTTCTCGTACACCGGCTTGACAAAGGAGCAAGTTAGGGCTTTGAGGGAGGACTACCATATCTACCTGCTTGATTCGGGACGAGCGTCGATCTCTGGGCGTAAGTTATCATTCATTCTCTTCACACCAGCCCTTGTGATTCGTACTTGGGGAACACCCTTTTTTTTTTTTTAAAAAAAAAAAAAAAAAAAAAAAAGAGGGCATGTTGGAAATATGAAACAGGCTGACCGCTTGCGTTCGGCCATCGAATATAGTGACGACGAAAAATGTCAAGTACGTCGCCAAAGCATTTGATGCGGTGGTGAGAGGTCAGTCAGCCTCACCAACATCCAATGGACACGCAGCCTAAAAGTGGGAGCTGTTGGCTGAATTGAATGGGGGGCTTTTGGCAAAAAAAAAAGAATGTTTGGGACAAGGGGTTCGCCCAAATCGCGAAAATCCTTTATTTTGGCTAAACCGGGCCCGGGCCCCTTTTTTTTTTTTCTTTGGGGGCTGCCTTGTTTGTTCCCTTTCATATATCTGGGCTGGGGGGGGGGGGGGGGGGGGGGGTTTATAGAGACATCCACCCCCATTCTTATGTTGGTTGGGACCTTTGTCTTGAGGACAGGGAACGTTTCCGGACGGCCAAAGTATATATACCCTAGATGCAAAGTCTTTCGTCTTCTGTTCATGCTTGGGTGGTGGATATTTTCTTGGCTTTCTAGTGGGGTTCAGTGGTGTGCATTTGTTTTTGTAGACTGTTGACATTTGGGTTCCAGGAATCCACTTCTCAAAGAGCCTTTTTGCTTCTATCAAGGCGTTCTGGTTGGATTTTTCCTTTACATGTTCCGTAAGAAAATCTTTAAACTTCGATAGTTATGGACAGCTGTTGTAACTAGTTAAAGCACGTATCTAAACGGAACAATAAATTTTTCCGAGGTCACCTGATTCTGGTTTGGTCTGAAATTTAAGCTTTAAGCTTTCGCTAGTCAAGGCTTGGGCTAAACCTTGATCTAGATAAAAGTGGCTTGATATAACTACAGCCTACTTACTGTTCAAGGAAGCATCAAGAGCAAAGTTTCGAAAAAGTAGTTCTCAAAGAAGCCTGAACCTCAACTGTTTCTGATGCTTAGCTGCTAAGGGCACGTTTCCTACTTCGCTGCTCTTTTCACCACCCACTTTCCATGAGATTGAAATGAAGGCTTTTGGCTCTAAGTTCTATTTTTGTGAGAATTTGAAAGAATACCATGGAAGACAATCGCATGACGTGCTTGCTCATTTATTTTGGCCTCCCCTGTTTAAAAGTAAAATGTGGTATTTTGAAACCCCTTTTTATTTCATTTTTGGGGAGGGATATATATATACATGTGTTCTTCCCTGATATAATGCCACTTCTAATATTTCAAATAGTTTTCAAGTGCCATAATTTTACACATATATATATGCGTTCAGGTGAGCCCTTCAAGGAATTTCGCTTTGAGCATCAAGGAAATAGACAGTACAGACAGCCTGATTCAGTAATGGATCTAACCCAGCTAATAACACTCTTTCATATAAAAGAAGCCTTTCAGCAGCATGATAGCTAGCAACCCTGCAGTAAGTGCCCTAGAGCTGATTCTGAAGTGGTTTAGTGATGATAGATGATGCTGACTGTATCCTATTATAAACAGGAATATCTCCTGAAAGCTGACTGGTATTTCATTCGAGGCATAACCGAATATCCGAAAGTTTTGTGATTGTATCTCACAAACATTGATTGAGGGAGACCTTTTCTAAGAAAACCAATCTTTCCTACCATTTTACCCTCTGTCAGCTTTTCAGCTATATCAAATATCTCCAAAATCCCGTATTTTGGTCATTGGTATGACTTGAAGAATTTTCTTGTGCCAATCCAATAATTTTCCAAATGATTTTGGTAAGAATCCCAGATTTACATACATCAGCTGCAATAAACAGGTTCTCAACATAGCGTGATTTTTGTGTCACTGATGAATCCAGAAGTGCGAAATTCAACGGAGTTCCCTTGCAGAGATATATACCACTGCATAGCATCACTGTACTCTCCTCTCAGCAATTAAAGGGAAGGGTCTCTGGAGAATCTCCTTGTAATATATGTTGTTCAATGCCCTTTTCCATTTCTTATTCCATGAGTAGTACATCGCCGGGTCCCCAGTCTCTAGTTAGTCAACAGGGATTCTTCTCTACTATATTCTTAAAATATATATATAATTTCTATTAATTTTACTGATATTTCATAAAATTACATATGTATAAGCTTGTTTTCTACTGTATGTTTATCTAAATACTATTTTATTCTGAGATAAAATTCTATAGTTACAAGTGTTAATTTGTATTTATGCATTAAAATTACAAAATAGTTAAATTCTAGTCTAATTAGATAAGTATCATAGTCTTTGACTAACTATATAGACTTAAAATAAAGAAGAAGAAGAAGAAGAAGAAGAAGAAGAAGAAGAAGAATATAATATTTTTTTAATTTAAATAATCAAAATTTATTATTTAATAATAATATATTTTGTTATGGCATTCGCTGGTAATATGGATTAAGGTTGATCCGTCCGATCCTCAACCTCTTTAAATTCGGCTGCTCGTTCATTCCACATTCTAATCCCAAGTTTAGTTTTCTCGTCGCAACTGCCTAGTTTAGTTAGATGAATAGAAGCTTTTCTCTTGACTCTAGATTGAGCCATGACATGTTTAATTTAAAATTGTTTTTTACTTTTTTTTAATGATTTATAATTTCAAAAATAAAAGAAAAAGAAAGTATAAATTTAAATGAAAGTAAATTTAATTAGGGTATAATTTAATTAAAATATAATAATAAATATAAAGTATATATCTTTTGTATATTTTATATATATTTATTTTAAATAACTTTTTAATTTTTCTGTAAAAATAATTAAAAAGTAATTTTTTGAATACTTCTATTCTTTAGTTGACAAAATATTTTTAGCAATAAACTACTTGATCTGCTAAGTCGTTGCCAGCAACTAACTATATGCAAGACAGTTTTATTAGAAATCGCAAGCAATTTTCTTCAGTGTTGGTGAGATGCCTACAGTATATAGAGGCTGTCTTTGTAGTGTCACATCCAATGTTGTTCAATTGATATCTGAATTCTGCTGCAACCTGAGCATAATTAGGGACCGACTGTATAACCGCTTCATTCATTGGGCACCAGGGTGGGGTGGTTGAAGTTGGGCACTGAGATTCTTTAAAGTTATTGGAAGGAAGAAGCTAGCTAGCTAGTCTATACGCGGAATCATACAGCCAGCTGGGTCGAAGCCCAACATATTAAAGGCTGCTCCACACCCCGCTTTCTTGTTGCAGCTCCCTGGTTAGTTACCCCTCAGTTGTCGACGTCCCATCAACCTCAAAACCCTTGGCTGTTCACTTGTTTGGATCGCACGAATATCGTCCTTCGCTACACTACGAAAACATAACTATTTTCAAGTGGGGATCCATCATTGCCAGGTCTTTCTAATTATCTCGTTGCTCACATCCAAGATGGGCATCAGTAGTCTTATATGCGTCTTCTATCAAGGGCGCTTCGTTGTTGCCCAGTACGCGAATTTCGAAGGATATCCCCAGGGACAACAAGGACTGAAAATCTTGAAATTCCTTGTTGTCCCAGGAAATATTACGCGTCTTACTGAAGGTCTTGAGAACATTAAATATCTGTCCATAGAAGAGCTCGACGAGATCTACATGGAAGTCAGCAACATTGACAGAAACGCTTACGCGAAGAAAGCAGAAAGTGACCCTGACTTCGTCATGCCTGTCAACATATTCAAGCACCTTTACCCTTCTCTCTCCCGCGAGGCAGGCAGCGATATCCTTGAACTCATTGCTCAATCTACACCCGAGAAAAAAATACTACATGCCCTGGAACTGGAGTTTGCGAATGAGTCATTCTCCTGCGAGTGGGCCTATGTGATTGATCTTGATAACGAGATGTTTGAAGTATTTTTTGGTGCAGAAAGCAAAGAGACAGCCACCAATAAACGCTTTAACGACATTGGGCAGAAGCATGATACTGTTCCCAAATTTATTCAAAGCTTTGCCTTTGATGATTTGCCACAAGGCAAGCCTGAATTCATCGAGGGTGAATACAAAATAGCTAGAACCTCGGTGTGACAACTGAACGGCTATGACAAGATTTTGCGGGAACTGGACGTGGGTACGCAAGTTCCCTTTCGCTCTTTGGGGTGTAAATTGCTGCATGGCCAGCGCAGAATGACTGTCAACAACCCTACGTGCCGGAGCATTTTTCTGCTCTGCAATTGCGGCCATTTGCTTTCCGGTGCTTTTTGTTGACTCGTGAAGGCATTATTGGTCTTAATCATTATCAGGCAATAACGCCAGGCCTTTTATTATTAATAACACACTTGTGGGCCTATGAAGTACTGGGAAATTTGTTGTCCGTCTCAATAATACGGAGGAGGTAACATATAAGAGAGCTGTTGGCAATTCTTCACCTCTATTTTGTCAAGATGCACCACAGAAAATCCACTCTTCACGTTTTTGAGTTTGTTCCCATTCTATCGCTGAGACCTAAAGAGTGAGATTGCCATAGGGAATAAAAGCTAACATGGAAAACATTGAACCCATGCGTCGAGATAAGATCTCGAATACCACTTCCTGGACAAAATTTGCCAGGGGTATCACCGTCCTGTAACTACTACATCTCTAAACCACGTTCAAATGTCCCGATGCGGTATCAACTTTTAGTGAAGAGAGACCAAACAAAGTGCACAAACTGGTGTATCATACGATGGCGTTTAAAAGAATGTTGCCGGCTATGAGCTTTGGATACTGCATATCCCAATAACTGTATCCGTATATACATTTATCCAATGCTCCAACGATAGTGTGGATTGATTAGTAGTGTTGGCTCAACGCCAAGGCTCTTCCCCGATCCGGCCTAGCTTAATCGCGTGGATAGTTTCGATCCTCCCAACCGAGGGCTTGCGCCATATGCGGGCTCTCTAGATCACGTGCGGCAGGCAGACAGTAAAATAATATGGAGCGCAAGGTTGGGTTTGTGGGATGGTTGGTTCTTCTATTCGGAGGAGCTAGCTAGGTTATTGCTATATTACATACAAGCGATCACGTGTGGGCGGGGCGGGCGCCGCTACAGGGTTTGTGTAGGATGGTTAAATCTCTCATATTGGGAGGCCTAGCTAGCTATCTAATATACGCTATATCACGTGCGGTGGAGCGGCAGCCCGGGCCACATACACCCAACAGTTTGGAACTCGCAATGCCAAGTCAAATCACGTGATTATTCATTTCTGCACAAATGGTGTTTAATCACCAACGTAGAGAGAGCAAATGGTACAGACGGAGGATCTGTCGCATAGAAACTATCGCGCTTGTCGCGTTCAACATCCTCATCCCAAGCATCGCCTTTAGCCCTGCCTGGAAAAGACCTCTGAAGTTTAATGTTCTTTTATTGCATGAGGACCTGTGTCTGTTTCTTTTCCGCCGTTTTCATTGTCACCACCGCCTGAATGAGCAGGCAGAACGCAGCCGCGAGGATGTCCGATCCCGCGGGAGGGGTGCCTCAACAGCTTGTAGGATAGCCTTGCGATCAATGGAAGTATGGGAGTCCTGAGATCCCGTGAAACTAATACGTTGTTTTACAGTTGCCCCATATGCACCTCGTTTCCAGCTACCGGTATCCCCTGACGAGCACTCTCTCCCACGAAACTGCTGTCGATTACCTTATCTCGGCGCCCAAGGTTGTTCGAGAGTTACAGACGGTGCACTGGATGTTCCTTGACGGTCCTCCTGATGGGACTGTGCTCCTAACGTGGCAGCCCCTGAATTATCTTGGTACAAATTTCGCGAGCGACGGCTACTTTTGGGCAGACGCGGAGCAGCTCTACAGCACAGAAATAAGAGGCTACGTAAGGAGAAGAACTTTTTTGCCCCCCTTTTCCTACTCTACACTTCTCCTAATACCTGTCTGTATTTAGAATCTAGAGCTTTATCTTCAGCGCTGCGGATATCATTCACCCAATGAAACGATAGCTGCACATTGCCGGAAGCGATACCGTCTGACTCCCTCTAAAAACCCGAATGCGAATGTTTTGCCCTGCGATCCATCTTTATGGATAATTCACTATTCTAAAACCCCGTCTGTAGATCAATTACCCGTGAACCGGATTCAAATCACTCCTCAGATGCACAATATTCTAGCGCAAAGACGTTTTCTTCAGAGCCAGGGACAGCTTGTGCGGAAGGAGTTCATGCTGCACGACCGGAACAGCTGGCCAACCATCAACCTTCCGCCACAAGTGGGACAGCAAAGCTTTGCGCAACAGGGTGTTGCATACGCAAACCCTCTCCTAGGCCGACAGCAGGCTGGTCCATTTTACCAACCACAGCCAGGGCAGAACATACCCGGACCGCAAGGGAAAGCTGCAAGACCGAGTCGCTCCTCAGCAGCGGCAGCCATGGTGAATGTTGCTGTACCAGACTATTCTCTAGAGGAAGAAGAAGTCTCGACGGGAGACATACTGGATGCTATTACCCCACGGGATATCAGCAAGATGAGGTATCGCCACCACCACGAATGGATGGATGAAATTTTTGGTTCTCCCTACAGTGTGAGGCAGATCATGCCTGTGGATCTAGGACTTGGTAGGAAAGGAGAACTTGAATCTTTAACTTCTGGATTCTTTGATGCTCCTACAGGCCCGTCTCTTGCACAGAAAGAGCCCAGTGCTCCGAACACCACGGGGAAAATGGAAACCGGTAGAGCAGAGGCCTTTGCCAAATCTGTCGATCGCAAAGTCTCTGATATAAATGCTGAGATTGAAAAGATGAAAAAAATACATTCTAAAAGGTTGGAAAAGATGAAACGAATCACAGTTCTGAAAGAGGCTGAGCTAGCGCTCCGTGATGCCTTCATAGATCCTGACGACGTGGGAACTGAGTTCTGGAGAGCTGAGGGCCGCTTGGAAGCTTTTGCCGGAGAAGAGTCTCTGCAAATTGATTATCCTGACAATCGTCCGAAAGCTAAAGTTGATGATATTGTTCGCAACCTCGAGAGGCATCTCGGGAAAGCAATTGTGCCAATCAGCGAAGTTGCCTGTGTCGAGAAAGGCGGTCTTCAGGAAAGGGCGCCAACACCCAAGCCTGCTAATGGTTCGTCTGTGGGAGATGTTGATATGGGTGGCGCCAACGTTGCCTTACCTGGCCAACTTGATGGGGCAGCTGATTCCGCACAACGACACCCATCAGCCGCTACCACAGCAGTTCCCGCACCGGTCCCTATAACAGCTCCATCTGTTCAGCAGACTGAGGCTGGAAAGGCTAATGTCCCTTTACCAAATACCACCACTCAAGCGCCATCAGCAATTGGCACCTTGCTTCCAGCTGTGCCTTCCAAGCCGGATAGTAGTGGCGATGTCGAGATGGGCGGGGTGGAGAGTGACAACCTTCCCACTACCACTACAGATCAGGAAACCGGCGACTGGGTGATGGTTAGCAAGGAAGACAATTTTCCGGCAAATGAAAGCACTGCCCCTACTGAAGGAAACGGTAAACCTTCCAGCGCAGAGCTCTCAGTCGCAGCTGCGGGAGCAGCAGCAGCAGCAGCAGCAGCAACAGGCCCTCCAGGGAGTGGACTTCAAGGACTAACGCCTGCCGGTAACATTGAATTGGGTGAGCCCAGTGCGCTTGAAACAAACAATTTCGACGACGCCGCTGGGTTCAGCAATATTGACTCTGCCGGAGACGCATTGGCAGCGTACAGTGAGCAGAATGATGATCTTGGAATGGAGGAGCTTGATAATTCTGCGTTTGGGGAAGCTTTCCATGCCTCGGAGGCTGAGCGCGGGGAGCAGCCTCCTGATAATGAGGAGATTTCATGATTCGCGTTGGGTTGGGGCTTTGAGTGTGCTAATAATAACAATTTGAAATGAAATGATGTAGAGTTTTCCTCTTCCTCTTCCTCCTCCTCCTCCTCTTCTTCTTCTTCTTCCTGATTACCGCATTGGTTCTGATATACCTTCCTTTTCTTAAAAACGGATGTACAGAGTAGAGGTAAATGGGTGTTTAGGGTATGTCTTTCATTTCTTTCATTAGTTTAACTTTTCATTCTTCATGATAACCATCTTGTTGGCCCATGGAATGTTTTTACTCGAATTCGATTGACATTCCTACCCCCTTTTATTTTTCATATTTTTATTTTTATTTTTTATTTTTTAGAAAAATATGTCATTTTAATGTTCAGGTCCGTTGCACACTTATCTCCTACGCCAGTCACCCTCTGAGGCCTTTTTTAAAACAAATTCACGAACCTCGATTATACGCTGTCCGGTGATAGGTCCATGGGATTCGACCAGTCATATGGCTCGACATAGCCGCAGAACGCGATCTCGCAGAAGTTAAACGGCCATTCGCAAAAAGAGTAATACGGAGTATTTGTCCGACTGGACACTGGTCGGTAGACACGGACCTAGGTCCTCTGTAATTTCTCCGCGTATTCTGTGCTTATGGGTAGCAGTATTGATATTTCCTTACTCTGTTATTTATATTTCCAGTCTTTTATCCTCGTGTGAATCCTCAGATTCGAGGTCACAAGCGCTGAGATAACAAATGGTCAATCCAGATCATGTGACAGCCCTAAATTCGCACGGATATCAGTTCTTTGTCCGCATGCACCAGCTGCATCGCAGCCACACCTTGCCCTATATCATCCGGATCAGAGCTAGAGGCGGGTATGATGGGACCTGCAGGATCAAGTTGGCAGGGGACAAAAGGGAAAATGACAGGACCATGCTTCGGTGACGAGTATGAGATGTGGCTGGGGATCACCATTCTAACTGGACTCGCCCCACCATCCCGCAGACCAACTACCAAGTGACGTAGTGATATTGCAGGGAGGGGGGGGGGGAAGCAAGAGATATATGACACCCTGTTGTGCAGACGATACTCATAGCATGTGCTTATCTATTTTGATAACAGTTTTTTTTTCTCTTCTTTTCTTGGTGAGAGCGCGAAGAGCCCACCCAGGATGGCTCCCAACACCAGCGTGATACCAACCCGCCGGAATTTCGATGTCTATCATTTAGAAAAGCACTCCGGTGGTGGTGATGAGAACCTCTAATGAATGAAGGAGCGGGCACGAGTTGCATTTTCCATACATATATCATGATATATGTCAGAGCACATGAACAAACTTGTGTTATGTCTTCTATTCCAGCTCCCGTCATATCCTCTTTTCTTTCTTTTTCTCTCATTACCCCGTCTTCTTCTCTCTTACAACCAACACATCTATTTTCATTTTTGGCTACATTTGCACAGTCTTCAAGAATAGTGTCCGGTTACAGGGCTGTTTTCCATCCTATCCCGCAACCACTAGTGGTTGCGTTTTCTTGTTTTCCTCTTTTGTCGCCTAGGATATAAGCAGAATCGGAGCTGAGAGATGAAACATACTTGGGCATCTATCTAGGTAACCTATGCTTCCTCTTAGCTGATGGTCAGCGATATCATGACGCCTTGACAGTGGTGTTGGTCTCAAGAGTGCTAGGTGAGACGTCCTGGGCTCCAACTTATGGACTACTCTGGATCCCCTTTTACATGCTTTCATACTGGTTATATAACCCTTTCCCGAAGGGCATATATCCCATTATGGGCATAGATATACGTAAAAGTGCCATCCTTTGAACATTCAGATCACAAGACTGACAGAAAGGGCCAAATCCACAGCGAAACTTTGAAGTCCAAACCAGCCGGCAAGCACCAGCAGCCCGGAAGCGTGCATTCCCGAAGCTCGAAACCGTGAAACAGTAAAACAGGACAAACCCACTTACAATGTGTTCTTGCAGCTGCAGCTGCAACCGCAACTCCAGCTCCAGCTCCAGCTCCAGCTCCAGCTCCAGTTCAAGTTCCAGCTCCAGTTCTAGTTCCAGCTCTGGCTCTGGCTCTGGCTCCTGCCCTAGACCCATGCCGCTCCCCAACCACAGAACCTGTGGTAGGTCGTGCGGGAGGTCCTGCAGCTGCTACTACTACATCAACCCGATTCGAAACATACGCACCTACCCGCTATCATCCCTTTGCTGCCCGCGCCGCACCCCCGTAATTGTGTTACCGAGCTATCCACGGACGATCACGATCTATCACGGATGTCCCCCGCGGAGCAGGCTCTCTTACTACTCCAGCAGCCGTTGTATGAGCAGACCTTCATCTATAGTTGGATGCATGTGTGGATGTTGACAGGATTAGGAAGGTTGGTTTGGGGGTCGTGTGCGTGCAATCGTTGAGAAATGGGCCGGATTCATGTGATAGAAGATTGTATTTGGGACTGGGGAAGTCAGAGGTAGTGGAGATGATAGAGATGGCGGGCGTGCGTTCACCTCGCCTTTGGCGGAAAGAGAAAACCTAGGTTTCATGCCTGGCTTGGGGATTCTGTTACGGATAGATCCAAACTACTGTCTCCACGGTGTCTATATTCAACATATCGACACCAGCAAATTTGAAAGCCAGGGGTAGACCTCATGACAAACTGCGACTTTTCCCCCAACTAATTATAGAACAACCCGCCGATACTTTTACCGCGAGTTCCGGCCAGTGGAAGAGCGATTAAGATTGACTTTGTGAATGGGGTGGCAACATTTCGTAAATATTTACCTGTCATTCATTCATTCATTCATTCATTCATTTTATTTTTGTCTTTTGGGATACACGAGAGATGATGGACGAGGTATTCAGATTGAATTTGAGCACTTTTACCATGAGATCTTATTTATAACATTTCCACTCTTTTTTTTTTTTTTTTTTTTTTTTTTTTCAGCTTTCATAGCTTTTATTTTTCTATTTTAAGGAGATATTTTTAACCCCATTTAGTGACAGAATGGCAAGCTTCTTCATTCCAAAGGTTGCTAACTGCGAGAACGACTTCATATGGCGGTAAAACAGATCACGTGATGAAAGGCTCCGACATTTTCTGTTGGACGTCTGAAGTTGGTTGTTATTGGTAGCCTAGGAAGCCTAGGCTCCAACAATTTCAAGGTTACATACAGGAACTAGATATCTATAACTATATATATGCATATCAACTAATATAACAAGCATCTAGTTATAAGCAAAATAGTCCTAATCACATCACCACGTACATAAACTTCAAGGGCGGAACCCTGCGGTTACAAAAAAAAAAAAAAAAACCCCCATACGACCGGCATTGGTCGATATATCTGGGTAATTAACTCTGTATTGCCCGTGGTTCAGATAACTAACCCCAGTTTTTGAAATGAGGGAAGACAAACCAAACGGGCCACACAGTCCAGCACATTAATGACACAACCAACAATACAAATTTAACCCTCAAACTAACCATAGCTTCGTCCGCATAGTATTCGACGCCTCCAAAACCCCCGGCAAGTCCAGTACGGCCATGTTAGATTTTGCCTTTGGAAAGTTATTCCAGCGCAGCATTCGTTCTTTGTGACGTCAGTGGCCACTGCAACATGCAGCCCCCTTCTGCCGTCATTGAGAAGTTGATGGAAGCAGCAATGCAAGGAGGGAAAAAAACGACTGTTGTTTTGTTCCTGCTCCCCTTTCCTTCTTCCTCTGTTTCTCCTTTTGTGCTTCTGAGAATTCTGTGTTGGGGTTGTTGTTTTTTAACTTGTGGTGGTCGCTGCATACATATCCTGTCTGTTTGTTCTCAATAACATACACCTCAAGAGGGGGAAAAAGGCAAAGGGGGGAAAACTCTGCATAAAAGAGCAACAGTTATTTACATTCTGAAGTGTGTATATCCAGAATCTCATGACATTGAAGTAAAACACAATAAATAAATAACACACTATCCAAAAATGTGAGTGAGCAAAACAAACAATTCTCTTCTTCTATCACTTCAATATTATCGCACCTCCTTGCAACCCCCAATAGCCGTGATGCACAGCCATGCCACTAACCAGAGTATCTCCAAACATCAGGGACCGCTCGCACTCCATCCGTAGCAGAAAGAGCCAAGTCATGGACCGCCCGGTCAAGCACCGCTTCAGCATGGCGACACTACGCGGTAATCAGCAACCCGAACTGTGTCGAAAGCTCTACAAGCTAATCAAGGCGGAGAACCACACCATTGGCTCATACGAGAACGCAGGTCGGGACCGCGTCTCCATTGCCTCGCAGCTGTCCGACTGGGGCGAATCCACAGGCGACGTTGCTGTTTCCGACCTCTCTGATAAGATGGGTGTGCTGCTCGCCGAAATGGGAGAGCAGGAAGACCTCTACGCTCAGAATCTGGAGGATTATCGTAATGTTCTCAAGCATATTCGTAACACGGAGAGCTCCGTGCAGCCAGCGAGAGACTACAAGGTGCGAGTCGTTGATGAAATTCAGAAGCTGAAGTTTAAGGACCCGAACAGCAATAAGCTGGTGAGCCTGGAACAGGAGTTGGTGCGGGCAGAGGCACAGATGTTGGTGGCCGAAGCGCAGTTGACGAATATTGTATGTTTGATATATCAATTGATCTCCCTGAGCCTCTCCCTCCCCTGAAGCTATCTCAGTTTCCTGCCGGTGTGTTGAACTAACCTAACCTCTTCCCACTCCATAGACGCGTCAAAAGCTAAAGGAGGCGTTCGACATCCACCTAGCAGCCACCATAGAAAGAGCAGAGAAACAAATTATCCTCGCCCGTCACGGCCGTCGTCTCCTTAATTTGCTGGACGACACCCCTCTTGTCCCCGGTGACACCCGGGGTCCTTATGAACACGCTGAACATGCCCGTCAAGTCCTCAATGACGCTGAGCAGGATCTTCGAAGATGGGAGCCCAGCCTCGAACCCATCCATTTTGCAGCTGCTGGAATGGGAGCGAACTCGATGCCCTCTGGCCAGATCAATGGTGATCGGGGCGAAGTGTCCTATGACAAAGAGGAGATGAGTCCTGGATCTTCGGTGCCGCAGCCTTTTGCTGCGTAGGGAGAGGGGAATGGAGGTTGATTGTGATTTGAAATTTCCATTTTTTTTTCCCTTCTCGCGTTTTGTTGCCATGTATATGCATTACCACGCTATCAGGTGCAAATGGTATAAATAGCCGCATGTGCCGCCTTCGTAAGGAGTTATGATTTCAGCTTAGGAATGTTAATCCCATTCAAAATTGAAAACATGAGAGGGAGTTTGGGAGCGGGTGGAGTATTTTTCGAAGAAAAGCGAAACCGGATTTTGGGCGTCTATGGTAAAGGGTTTTTATTTATTTTTTGTCTTCTTCTTCTTTTCCAGTGTACCTGATTGGCACTGCATGGGATATGTTATAGTTATTTATTCTCCTAACATGTAATTTTAACAATCCAGTGACAGTTGAAATATTCATCTTTGACAGGTCAGCAAAACTCTGGCCTCTGCTTCAAGGCAATCGCAACCAAACCAATCAGATATATCTATCATACATGTATCGTCTGGCTCTGCATTGGGTCCCACTGCCGTGGATCGCTCGCTCTCCCGAGCACATCCTGGTGTGGTTTGAGACTGCGGCGATTTACGCCGTTCGAACCAGCAGCGTGATAGCATATTTGTAGGAATAATATAACTACGGAAGAACTGGAAACATTTGAGCAACAATGTCCAAACTTGGGAATATATAGGTATTCCGCAAGAGCACGCACTTCCTTCCAACTTGCAGCCAGCAGACGGACATATCAAAAAAAGGGGAGATGAACCTAACAAGTAACTAACTGTTATTTCGTGGGCCAACGCGGATTTCACCAGGATTTCACCGATGGATGGATGGATGGCCCTTGGCATCACATATTTCTCAACAGCAACATGTTTCAAAGCTTTGCGGGATGAAGGCCACGTACAGAAGTAGCAAGGAACCGCCGGAAACAAGACCTATCTATCTCACTAAATCACACTGTCAACATCGATTTGTGGCAACCTTCGTGACAGTGACACCCAGCAAAAGAAACCCAAGAACAATAAATAAATCAATGGTATAAAAAATAAACACTAAGAGAAACTTTATGGGGGCAGCGCGGTTCGAACGCGCGCGAACTTTCGTTCACTGCAGTTTCTGATTAAAACTTAAATGCAGCGCCTTAGACCACTCGGCCATACCCCCATCATTAGGGCGTTGGTTTGGGAGCAATTTGGCCCCTTCAACACAAACCCTTTTGGGGGGGGGGGTTGGGGGGTGGCGCCCCTCGAAGTTGTGTCATGTGATGCAGGCAGCTTGTTGCCGCGACTGCAAGCAAAACAACAAGCTTCAGCCAAAGCTTCAACAACTCAAACAACTCAACTCCCCTCTCGTTTGAATTCAACCAACAACATCCAACCCTCCGCTGCCACGTCTCCGTACCCTGTATACCAGTATCTCTCTGCTTCATATATTCTCCCTATTTGGGTGTTTTTTTTTTTTTTTTTTTTTTTTGCTTCACATTCATTCATCGTTTTAGAATTGCCCATCATGGATACTGTCGTAGCCCAATACTCCCGGCCTATGTTCCCAAACGATCGCTACTCCCAGAACGAAGAGCAAGAGTTTACAGAAACACTGCCTCCCTTGTCTCTAAAGTTCGCTCTTCCTCCAGTAGATAAGGTGGGTATTTGTGAATATGAGGAGTCATTGATGGCCATCTTGGGTTGTTCCACGTTTTTGTCTTGTGCTGACAGTTTCATTGCTTAGCCCGCCGCTTTCCTGCGAGCTGCAACCGATGACCATGCCAACCCAAACTGCCCCATTAAGCTTGCTCATGGCACCACAACTCTTGCATTCAGATTTCAAGGAGGAATCATTGTGGCGACAGACTCCAGAGCTACCGCTGGCAACTGGATCGCCAGTCAGACTGTAAAAAAGGTCATTGAGATCAACAGCTGTCTATTGGGGACCATGGCTGGTGGTGCTGCTGTACGTGTGTTATCACCGTTCTCATACGTGTTCTCATACGTTTTCTCAGTTTGAAAATGTATCTTAAATTTTTTGCTGTCGCTGCTTGGCTTCTGCTCTTGTGTTGAATCTGCATCATTCCTGAAGTGACTTTCCAAACCCAAGACACTGCCAGAAACCACCGAGGACCTCCTGCTTACCCCCTGTTATGTGTAGGACTGTCAATACTGGCTCGCCTACCTAGGCATGCAATGCCGCCTCCACGAACTCCGCCACAAACGCCGCATATCCGTAGCTGCCGCCTCCAAGATCCTCGCCAACCTCGTCTACAACTACAAGGGCATGGGATTAAGCATGGGCACCATGTGCGCTGGTGTAACACCGCAAGAAGGACCTGCTCTCTACTACATCGACTCAGATGGGACCCGACTAGCAGGAAACCTCTTTTGCGTTGGATCTGGCCAAACATTTGCATACGGCGTGCTGGACGCGGAATATCGATATGACTTGACTGAAGAAGAGGCGTTGGAGCTGGGGAGGCGGAGCATCCTCGCTGCTACACACAGAGATGCGTATTCGGGTGGTTTTATTAACCTGTACCATATCAAGGAGGCTGGATGGGAGAAGCACGGATTCAGCGACACTAACCCGATATTCTGGAAGACGAAACTGGAGAAGAATGAGTTCTCGAATGTAACGGGAACGTTGGAGTGAAACGGCGAAACCCTTTGTCTTCTTCTTTTTTTTTTTTTTTTTTTTTTTTTTTTTTCCTTACCTTCTTAATAATACGATGAGAGGTTTGGCACGTTTTGCCAATTTTTAAATCTTACTTCTGCCACTTGTGTTATATAGCTTGCTAGAAATAATGGGTAGAATTGTGTCATCATTTACGAAGTAGGGAGTATAACTAGTCATAATTACCTGGTTACCCATCCTTTTTTTTCTTCTTTCGAACCACTTCACCACTTCATATCTTAGACGGTGCTGAGTCTCTAGTTATGATGACAATTACTTTGAGCAAGTCGCTTTTCTTGTCCCAGAATGATCTACGCGTTTCGCAAAATCGAACGCAGAAGTGGCCTATGGTTCCCCTGTGTCCACGCCGTTTCTTTACCCGGGAAATTTGCTGTTGGATCTTATATATTGTTAATTAAAGGTTTAACTGAATTTTGTTAAGGTGCCCCTGGACCTTTGGTTCATGCATCATCCCAACAATCAGCCAATTCCCCATGAACCATGAATCGGAGTAGGGAGAGGGATGAATCCGTCACCTATGAATGATATGGATCGTCTGCTAGAACGTATGTACATCCCATATTAGCCAAAGTTGCCGCGATAATTCTTGTCTTGAAATGTATATCAACTTATCTACTCTCATAGAAAATCTTTTTTTTTTATATTCACCGTAAACAAGGAGATCACGGAAAGATATTTTACCCAAATTGAAATTGGCAGCAGAGATATCAAGAGCGACAAATACTGAGATATTTTGCCTTCTTAACCCTAATTCCCTCTCTTGGAGGCAAAATAAATTTTATTTTGGTCTCATTTTTATCCAAACCCTTTATACAGATAAAACACATTTATCCAACCACAGAATCTCAATTATTAACCTTAAATGTCATCTTAACCCCCATAGCCGCCAACTCAACATCAAGATACTTCAACACACCGGGCACGGCAACTACAGTGGTATCGTCTCCGCCAACGAACCTTCTACCCTCTCCATCCTCCCACACCTCGGCTCGGGGGTCATCAAAGACCGCTTCTCTCGCACATCGACGACAACGCACAATCCCTGAAGTACCACCCAACGCACTCACTGCCCCACCTGGCTTCACAAGGCCCGATGAAGACTTCGCAGCAGCAGCCATAGCGGGATTTTTGCTTGGCGCCACGTATTTAGAGACAGCAACCTGCGTTGAGAGGAACGAGCCGCACGTCCTGCAGATCCAGGAACGAGTGATGTCCGAGCAGTTCATGAGACGGTCTTGCAGGAGGAAAGCAGCGCCATGGGCCAGAAGGGCGTCGCGCTCCATCTCGCCAACACGGATCCCACCACCTTTCGCACGGCCCTTAACGGGTTGTCCGGTCAGTGCGTTCACTGGGCCAGTCGTCCGCACTTGGAATTTATCATTGACCATGTGCCTTAGACGTTGGTAGTAGACGACTCCCAGGTAGATGTCTGCAGCAAATTCGCGGCCTGTTATACCAGAATACATCGGCTCGTTGCCATGAAAGTTGTAGCCAGCCTTGCGCAGTTGTTCGCCAAAGAAGTCGCCTGCGGTATGCTCTTCAGAGAATCGGAATGGGGTGGAGTCCTGCGCGAGGCCGTGTAGAGCGCCAGACTTCCCCGCGAGGGACTCGACAAACATACCGATTGTCATTCGGGAGGGGAAAGCATGCGGGTTGATGATCACGTCGGGCTGGATTCCGCTCTCAGAGAATGGCATGTCAATTGCAGGCCACAGTTGGGAACAGACGCCCTTCTGTCCATGGCGGGAGGAAAATTTATCTCCAATAACTGGTTTACGTGGGATACGGTATTTGATGCTGATGGCTTGGCAGGGGTCACCGCCTGTTTCGGAACCGAGGATCCGGACGCTGTCAATGTAGCCTTCCTCTGTGTCTTTGTACTTAAGGAAGTGGGTTTGCCTGTCGATGTTAATATATGAGTTCGATACTGCATCGAAGCGGACAGTGTGCCATGCAGCAACGATGCTGCCTTCAGTAACCCGCACACCAATGTGAGGGAGACCATCCTCATCCAACGTTTGCCGCCATTCCCCCTTGATAAGGCCACCCGGTGCGAATCCGAAAAGTTTGGCAATTTCTCGTTTCGCTTTTCCCCGGCCTCGAGATTCTTTGTCATCGAGAGAATATACTTTCGTTTTGTAAATCGTGCCCCATCCAAATCCTCTGTCGTGAGCGGATCTATTAATAATCATTGCGTCGTCCATGTCGTAGCCAGTGTACGATAAGACAGCAACCACGGCATTCATGCCATTGGGGAAATTGTCGAGTCCGTAGCAGTTATAGAGAGGTGGGCGAACAATAGGGGTTTGTCCGGTTTGTAGTCTGTAAAGTTTGTTGTCGGTACGGTACTGTATGGATGTTCCAGGAGTTCCCATCGCTTGCTTCCCCATTTGACACTGGTACATATTACGCGGAGACTGGTTGAAGTCAGAGAACGGTGTCATGTTTGCAACGATGGAGAGGATGTAGGTAGGGTCGAATTCCACATGGGTAGATACCCCAGATATGATATCGGACGGTACGCAGGCAATTTCCATAAATGGCTGCTCGAATGGCCCAACATAATCAAGTTTGTCCAGTGGCAAGTATTTCACTGGTCTGACCATCCTAGCACATTGCGAGAAAAGATAGATACCGGGGTATTGGCCCCGGTTCGAGTTGGGAACGTATCCGATTTCAAGCTCCACGGGAAGACTCTTGTTGCCCTCTACCTTCCAATATCGCAAGGTATCAGATATGATGCGAGCTTGTTTCGGGGAACAGTAGCCAAGAATGCGTCCGTCCATCTGGACAACAACGCTTTCCTCTAGGGAAACTGATGACTCAGATGTTACCCCTAGGTTCGATATGATCTGAGGAACACCAGAGACATCAAGATTACTTGTTTCTATTTTGCATTTATGGGCTAGATGGTTTAGAAGACCACATGGACTTCCATCTGGTGTGTGAACTGGGCAAAGGAAGCCCCAACTCTCAGGGAGAAGTTTACGAACGGTAGTCGTTTTGAGCTGTGCGAAGAAGCTTCCTCGGTGTATCATTCGGAAATGACTGATAAAACGGTAGAAGTTGATTTTCTCGGCCATGACAGTATAACCAGATGGTTGTTGTAGATCGAGACCAGTTGGACTGACAAGGTTACCGGTAGAGAGGAAATACTCCAGCGCACCACCGATATTTTCGTTTGTCCTCGCAACGATTCTACTCAGGAACTCCTTCTCAAATTTTGGGTCGATGAATCTTGCATTCTGGTTCTTGACACTCCACTCCTGTGCAATCGGACCAAATGACCTTAGCCATTCTTCGAGGCGCTCTTTCAAGAGCATCCCGTAGAGAAAACCACCAAGCAAGACTTCTTGATTCGAGACAGCATCCGGATTATCTGGAGCACAGTCCCCAGCCACTAGGGTATAGAGTTTCCGGATCATGAAGAGTATCATATTGAACTTATCATTATCCTGAGAGTCTGTCACGTTGTGATTGCCAAGATGCGGCAAGACGACTTTTCGAAGAAATTCGACGCCCACAGCTTCATCTGGTATATCTGTGGGCATTCCCAAGACAGGTCTGAATTTTTCTCCCAGGTAAGCTCTAATGTCGTCCCTTCCATGAATTCCATATCCCTTGTATGTTCGTAGAAGTAGCTCAACTCGATCTGTCACAAAAGAGTTTTTGATTCCCTCAGAGCCTTCATGGCCAACTAGGCGCTCGAAAATGTCCCTATCGTTTGTCTGCACCAGGCCCTTTAATATCATCACAACTGGGACAAGGTACTCATTTTTCCTCCAGGTAAATCGGAACGTGACATTTCCGTCGCTGAGGTAATGTAGAAAATTCGTTTGAGATGTTTGATCAGGCCTGACAGAGCGAATTTGAATACCAAACTTCGTATAGGTCGGGCCGCGCTTCATGAAGGAACTACGGATAATAGCCATTGGGAAATTTCTCCTTCCAACAATCAACATTCGGATAAGTTTCTCATTTCCATTGACGACAAAATAACCGCCGAGTTCTTCAGATTCCTCTTTATGTTGCACGAGCTGTTCCGGAGAGCACTTCTCTAGATAACATCGGTTGGACTGCAGGAAAAAGTCAATGCGAATCAATTATGCGGTCAGTCTACAAAGCTCAATCATAACGAATGAACATTTATTAATCCAGACATTGCGAACTCACCCTTAGCATAATTGGGACCTGGCCCAGTTCTCTGACGGACTCTTTCCACTCCCCATTGTTAATGCGGTATTCCAGTCTCGCTCGTAGTCTGCCACGATATGTCGCGTGTCTCTCTCGACACTCTGCAGGGTAAATTTCTCTATTTCGCGTATTGAACTTGTTTGATGCCGGGAGCATCGCCTTCTCAAGAAACAGCTCGGTAATGCGCACAGAGAGCTTGTTTCTTCGAGGCGCCCGTCTCCCTTCATCTAGCCTAGCCCGCTTCTGTTCCGGGGTTTCGACGTCGCCATCGAGGAACGATTTGGTGCCAATGTCCTTCAATGCCGCCTCTAAAATCCTGTCATTGTCGAATAGGGCGTTGAAAGAATCGATATGGGGGCGAATAGAAGCTGCAAGGGACGGGTACGCAGTGTGATCCTTTGGGGGATGTCGGAATAGACGCTCACGCCGGAGGGTGTCAAACTCGACTGACCACTCTGTATCCGTAGAGGGTGCCATTGAGCCCTAAACTAGCAAATCTAAAACAATTCAATCAGGCTAAAGGGTATAAAAATAGCACAGAAGAGTTGAAGGTGCCAGCACAAAGGGGATCAATACGCCCGTCGAAGGGTAAAAATCCCTTGTGGCTGCTACGGCGAAACTGCCATGACCGAGTGGAATAGTTCAAATTAGATATTTAAAGTAAGAGGAAGGAGACTACGGCTTGGACGAGAAGTATTGACTCATCCTTGCAATGTTGATTGAACTGATCGCCCCAGCTGTTGGTGGTGTGTGTATATATCATGAGGCTCTGCGAAGTGAAATTTTTGAGCGGAAACGAGAGCCATGCTTATCGTCACGTGAAGATAACCAACTGCCAATTGGCGGTGTTCGACCAAGTGTTCTTGTTCCACTCAACAACGGATCAAAAGACGAACGACATCATCGAATCGCCCACCAACCACCAAAATAAAGTAATATTTACTACTCTCAAATAGAATGCCGCCAACACTAGCCAGCCAATAGACATTGTTCTCTACAAGCAGCGGCAGCAGGATTGGCACCTGGGCAAAAAGAATAATACCAAATAGCCGTCGGCGTCTTTGGCGCCGGGAAGGCTCTGGGCTCTCCACCTTTGCTGCTTCACAGTTCTCCTTCTGGCATTTGCGTGGATGGGAGCTTGCGGCGGATGCGCTGCTCATTGCAAACCACGCAAGGGACAGTTACAGGGAACAGGGACTCAAGGACGAAACGCCTCCCGCAAATCTCAGTTCCACACTCCTCGCACTAGACGTCAAAACACCACCATCGGTCATGTGTACACAGACCTACTTCGCGCGGAGTGAACCCAGCCCTCAGTGCTAATATTCTGTACTCGTTGATTGCCTTCAAGAGGAAGTTTTTTGTAGCCGTGAGTAAGGGAGCTTTTCCAAGACCGTTCACATTGATTCAAGAAAGACGATTATTCGTTATTTCTTTGCTTCCTGAAATATATCCATCTCGTTTTCTTTATTCCGCTCCATGTTTACCATATAGTTAGCGCTTGTATTGTGCCTGTGTGGTTTAACTCCTGATTTATTAATTTTGGGTCTCTGCCTGTTATCCGGGTTTCTGTACTCCATCCCGGCTTGTATGGGAAATTATACCTCTCACTCTGGGATTTAAGGTATTTTCGTCATTATCGTGTGTGCTTTGTCCCGCAGATCCATCTCTTACACTTCTTCTTAACAGACGCCACACACCACAGCTAAACCCTTGGTGTACATATTGCTGTACACACCACGATAATATTCACGCACTATTTTACTTATCCCCTCTCCTGGCTCTCACACTCACCTCACAAAATTACTGTCTGCGCCATTTTTTGCCGCCAAATCTCCATCGCTCTATTCCGTCTACTTTCTCTGAGGGATAAGGTATCGTAGCTATTTATTCAGAGCAGATTCACGATGGCGAGTTTCTTCAGAAGCATCTATGACTGGTTGCTCAGAAAATTCTGGTTAGTGTGCGCTTCAAACAATCCGATGCGACCAGCGGTATTTAGTGGTGCAGACCTTCATCTAAGCACTGGATCATCCAATGGGTAAAAAAGGAAAACTAATTCATCATGGTCAATTTTACGATTCAGGGCAACCGAAATGGATGTGACGATGGTCGGATTGCAAAATGCCGGGAAGTCATCGTTGTTGCGGGTTTTAGCGGTGAGAAAACGAATTTCCTATCAGAAATGAAAATTCCCAGAGGATATTCCCATGAAATGATGTGCTAACTGAAAGGAAACCAGGGAGGAGAATTCACGATTGAGTACGTCAAGAGGCCTGGGAAATGACGGGAGTAGCAGAACAGTTGCAGCTAATAGCAACCTCAGCTCAATACCCACCATCGGATTCAATACTGCGCGTGTACAAAAAGGTCACGTCACACTAAAGTGGTCAGCGTTCTCCGTTTGGATATAACTTCCCTCAGCAACTGAGGCATCCGTTCTAACGAAAGTATATAGTTGGGACCTTGGAGGCCAGCCGAGATTTAGGCCAATGTGGGAACGGTATTGTCGTGGAGTCAACGCACTAGTGTAGGTATATGTTCCATCAACGTCAAATCCTTCGAGGGAGAGTGCGTCATCAGCTAAATCATCCGGGAAAACCATAGATACATCGTCGACGCAGCCGACAAGGAAGCGCTGCCCACGGCCACCGAAGAGCTTCACGATCTCGTGAGCAAACGGTCTCTAGACGGCATCCCGCTCCTCGTGCTGGGCAACAAGTCTGATCTCCCCAACAAGCTCTCCGTCGATGAGCTGATCGAAGCCATGGATTTGAAGTCCATCGTGCACCGCGAAGTTAGCTGTTACGGTATCAGTGCCAAAGAGGAGACGAATCTTGATGCTGTTTTGCATTGGCTAATTGCCCGATCAAGCAAGTGAACGGTTCCGCCATTTCACCTATCCAACTAACAAACCTTTCTTTTGCCTCTTGACTGTCGCTTTCCTACCGTCTGTCTTTTCTTTCCGGGATTTATACGTCATTTTCTTTCATTTCCTTTTTTACCGCCTTTGTAATGATACTGATGCCTTGCTTTTATTGCTTCCATTCCTCTGCTTTTCCTCATTTTACGGTTGCCTGTTGAAGTTGCAGGATGTACTTCTCCCCCCACCCCCCAGGTAGGGGGCGATAATGGACGACAGCTTCCCCGCTCTCCATTCCCCGTCTGCTATGCCTTCTCTCTCTTCCAATTCTAGCCTCAAATCCTATTTATTTCGTCAAACTCCCAAGCCAACACATTGTCTCCATTTCTCCACCATCTTTTCATCAGAATGGTAATGTTAATTGTCATCGAGCAAGCATGCGGGTAAGCGAATCGGCATTTTTTCCTTCCTTTTCTTATGTTTCTCTGCTGTCTTTTTTTTTTTTTTTAATTCTTTTGAAGTTTTCTCGGAAATCTTGGTTTTCTTTCTTTTCAGCATAGTTAAACGGATGTAGGACGAGAGGCGGGTAGAATGATAGGATGAAGTAACGACTGCAAATTTCGTGGTGTTGCATTGATATCCGATTGATAGACCAGGTGGGTGGGTTGTCATTGTCTATATGGGTAATTGAGAACCACTGATTAGTTTCCTATTTCCCAGTTCATTTCATCTGAAGATATGGAGATTGACGTTGGGATTTCACTCCAGGGAGAGGGGTGAGGCTCTGCATCTTCGAGAATTAGTTAATGCCATCCGAGCATCAGCAAATAGGCTTCCTGGCAAATCAGGTTGGGTGAAGGTATGTATCTCAATCCAAACAACTCAATCGTCCAGAGAATATATATCTCCACTTCTCACGGCAACCCCCTTTCTTGATAAGCAAAATGAGAAAAATAAACAAATTAAACAGAAAAATTAAAACCCTTCCCACCCACATAATTATATATTTATTCTTTACTGATTATCTACAAAATTCTCTCCACGTCATGAACAACTCATCAACAGTCCATCCACATAGGCACCCCACCGTCGAGCACAGACCAACTGATGCGTTGGCAATGCATAATCCTCTCACATTTCTTACATGTACGCCGGCCGATACAAAGCCTATTATGTCACGCATTTGATTTTAGATTTTGAAGGGATGGGATGGGATGTGGGACTGTAATCGTGCGTGAACATGTGGGCGCAAAGTGAGGGGTAGACTAGGCTTTTGCGTCTTGTCAGTGTGATCATTGACGTTGTTCGAAGACAATCATCAGCGTAGACACCGAAGCCAATCGGATAGTTAATGAGAACTTCGGAAATCTGTTGATTGCAAGTACGCAGGTTGATTGGGGCAGTGATTAGTGGTGCGCTTCGTGGTTGGCTGGTCACGATTCAATCTCAATATTTCGACATGTTCCCTGTAAGTGGACGGGGTAGGTTACTCCATAACATGGAGAGATAAATACTAGTTATTAACGGCGATATCAACATCCATATGCGGGATATGTTTTAGCTTCAATTGTTCGAGAAAACATCTGGACACTTCAAGCCAAATGGAACTAGGTAAGAAGCAAAGCAACCACAGGAAAGAAAGGGTGGTCAATCGTTCGGTTTCTCACAATGCTATGGAGCAAGGATCATACAGGAAATAAAGAGGCGCAAAATTCCGGCGCGAATGGATTTGACGTTGAGGACAGTTTGGATGTAACCCGTCAGAAATGTTCATCACAGGGCGAATGCCAGGAATTAGTTAAATTAACCGACCTCCACCCGGCGGCTCTTGCGAGCTTGGATTTGGTAATGCTGCTTATAACTAAATAAAAACACGAGTTTCAAAAACGGGTTAAGGTTTCTTAACTGCTGTGGAGCTTTGGGAAATTCCAAGAGAGTGGCCCCAAGGCACACCTTGCACAGACTGTGGCACAGAGCCTGGACTTGGTTAAACATCTGTGGGAGAGAGTGAATAGTGGGTCGTTTCATGAAGCGGCCTTGTGGAGGGGAGAACACAATGAGAATTGATTGGCCGAATCTTTGTGAGTTGGAGCACCGCGTCTAGAAGCGTTACGTCAATGCCTTCGTTACTGGCGGCATGTAGCTAACTATAAGAATAGAGCAAGGCAGGAAAGATAAAATGATTTGGGTATCAAACGGGGTTTATTTAATAGTGCGAGCGCGTGAATCAAATTGGCAGACAACGAGGACTCCACCTACGGAGTAATTACTGCTAGCCACGGCAAAAGGCTCTCTCAAATCACCCACAAGTGGTAACTCCGGGGCCGAGTGGGACCTACATGCAAATCAACATGTTTGGCAGCGAATATTGACTCGTTAGTTGATGGTGAGATATGACAACGACAAGACCTACCAAAGCCTGTTGTTTGTTGCCCAAGGTTCAGGGATTGATTTGTCCCATTCTCTCCCTGGCTGAATTGACGTCCTGGGGGCTCATCTCAAGCAGTTGGTGGCATATTTGGTTGGCTTCTATTGTTGAGGGCCCTTTTCAGGCTCCCCTGGTATTCTGAATACTGTGCTGATCAGGATTTTTGGCTGCCACTACAGGACGGTGAGCGGCTAAAGCCTCCTTGCTACAAAGAATGTGCCCCTTTCAGCATTGTACTCGCCAAACTTTTCTTCATGCACCCATTCTCAGTACCGCAGACGCACCTAACCACGCACTAATAATAGCCTTACAAGAATGATGTTTCAGCGTCTTGCTCTTACCACCCGCTACCTACTAATCATCCTTTCATTCTTCTTTATCTATCTTCAGGCGGCTGTTTTCCTAAATGAGAATTTATACTTGCGGCTGCCGCCGGATGCTATCTCAGCAGAGCTGTTAGAGAGTTTGCGAAGCTTTTCGCGAGCTTGAAGGCGGCTGACGTAAATTTCGGAGAGACTCTCATAGAACGACTCTAGGATCTCAGCGCGATGTCCCTCAGATATAGGCGAACCAGCTATCTCGATGTCCGGATACTTCCAGGGGAAGTAAGCCTTTGCATGTGATCCTTTTGTACAGAACTGGTGGCCAGTACGACTCAGACATTTCAAAAACAACGCGCAAGCTAGGCATGACAATTTGGAGACGCCAATGTAAGGGATTGCCTGCCCGCTAGCTAGGAGATGCAGGGCCACCGCACACTCACAATGAACAGGAGCCTGGATAGTGTCTTGGTTCTCAAAGCGGCTGCGTATGACGGCTCCAGGTCGACTGCAATCTTCTGTAATCAACTCAAGGAGGGATGTCGCGGCGTGGTGCAGAAGAGCTTCTTTGCAGACATCATTCCAATCGCCCGTTGTTAGGAGAGAAATTGGGCGAGGTGCATTACTGAGCTGCTGAACGTGGATCTTCGTTCGGTCGAGATACCGGCGGTACAGGCGTGGGGATTTTGCATACTTCAGAAGCGTATCTACCGCACGAGAGAGGGAGACAGCTTTCTTAAGAAATCGTTCCAAGGGGAACTCTGTTTCAGCGATAGCGAAGAGTTTAGCCTCCCAAGCTTTAATTTTCTGTATCTCTTGTAGTGCATCGTCCACCTGGCCCATGCCGTCCACAAGCTTTGCCATGTCCTCTGGATCGTGATTATTGTTTTGGTTGACGACCGGAAGAGCGAAGTTAAGCACATCCCGAATAAGTCGCAAATGTCCAATCAGTTCGCGGTTATCAAGGTCCTTGGAATGCGAAATGCTGTCGACAGCATCAACATATTCTATAAACGCACTTGCAAGAGACATTCTTGCCCAGGGTTTGTTAAGCCGTTGACGTAATTTTGGGAGAGAAAAAAGGAACGCGTCTTTTCGAAATAGGTTGCTCTTCTCTAGTAGGTCGTCTGGCAGTTGATGCTCATCAATCCATGGGGAGGAAACCCAGTCGTCAGACTGGTTGTCAGGCGCTGTTGTCTTTAGACGGAAATCTGCAAATTCCCGTCCGAGTTTATGCAACTTGTCCAGGAGGAAGCGGGCGTGCTGGAGGGTACAGTCAGGGAGGTTGCTGTTGGATGCGACAGTCAAAATGATTTCTCTGTCCGGTTCTTGTCGTTGCTGGAAACCCACTGCAATTACCTCTCCCTTTGGTTTTGAAACAAGAACGTTTGCAACAGCATCCAGAACGACGGTCATGCGGTCGTGAATTGGATCATCCAGTGCCATGCATTCTCGACGAGGTGGGTCTTGCCCATCGACCTCAGTCAGGAGAGCGACCAGCAACTCAACATCCGCGGCAGTTTTCGGCATTATCACAAACTGTGAGTAGCAGGAAGACAATATGAATGAAGGCAACGAACAGTTTGAATGTATGCAGCGAAAGATGATCGACTTTTCTATACCCGAAGCGGTCGCTCCAAACCCGGTGCGCTAGACCAGACGCGGACAGCGCTAAACCGGATGTGGTAGAGGAGGGTCAATTCCAGCCCTTCCCACTCGCTGTTGTGATGGTTCACGTTAATTTATATTAAACTATTTATTAAATTCTTAGTTTTTTATTCTTTTTTCTTTTTAATAAATTTGTATACTTTATTTTATAAGGAAATACTAAAGCTGTATTTGATATTATATTTATTATATTTACGGGGTAATCGTGGGGTGGTTGCTATGCCGTTGCTCTGCCGTTGCAATTTACCCTTTTCAGCCCAGTGGCCTTACGCCGTTGAGTGGTGCGGACGGAGCCTGTTCTACGCCCTCACACTAACATGTATAGACACAGAAAAGAAACCATTAAAGAAGAAAAGAGAAAAATAGATCATGTAGAGAATTAAGCTTCTTATAGAGAGCAGAGATTCAGTATGAAAACTAGCATCTTTGTAATAGAGGCTTATTTAATTTAATATATTTTACTTGTATTTTTATATTTATAAATATTACTTTGACTTTTTTAATAATAATTTAGTAAATTAATTAAATTTTTTAATATAAAATTTACTCTTTTATAAAATATTTAAATAAAATTAAAATTAAAAATAAATATAAATTTATAAATAAAATTATTGAAAATTTTGTAAAATATTATAAAAAATTTTTTTAAATTAATTGATTAAAAGTTATCAGATAATAATATATAAAATAACGTTTTTAGAGAAAAAATTAAGAAAATAAAAGCAGCAAGTGAGAAGCAATTGAGGAAGAAAGGAAAAGATTACATATATATAATATTTATATCAAATAGATACAAATTAATGTAGCAATATTGAAGTATTAATAAATAAAATAAAAAAGAACCGGAGATCTTTTAACTTTCAATTATGAAAATGAGCACGTACTAATTAATATATGCTATGTGATATATTATTGACCCATTTCTGCTTGCACATGTGAACTGCTGATTTGTAAATAATTCTTGGTTGTTGTTATATTTAGTATGAACGTGTACATCGCGGGGATTACCCTTTCCAGTCGTTATACGTTGGGTCATGTGGCTTAGCACTCCCATGAGACCTTGGCCCAGCGGGTCCAAAAGGGCTCAGCGCTCAAACTCTGCCTGTTGAATCTGACCCCGTGATCTGCTGGATCGTCATTATTATCGCGGTTGAGGCTGGCGCGGGCTGGACAGATGGAAACACCCCGCGCTAATGTCGGATAAATGTGGCTCCGCGTGCCCCTCAGCCACACTGCTCTTTTGCGGGCTGCTAAATAAAGGTAGGGTCGAAACCTACACGGCAATTCATCAAACTGCCCCAGTTCATATATTCCAACTCACTAAAACCAGCGCATCACCCATTTCCACCACCCCTAACCGCACTCCGCTATCTGCAACCACAGCTCCTTTTACTCACCTTCCTCCCTGGTTCTATTTGCTAGCGCATCAGTCAGTAGTGTGGCTACCGGTAGAGATTTTGCGCTTCACTCCTCCAACCTTTTCAGTGCCAACGTTATCAACCACTTGATATTCGCGTCACCTTTTTCACTGTCTGGCCAGAGAAGCCTTTCGCCTAATCCACTATATATTTCGTCTTGCGACCGGAACCAACTCTTCTCCCTCGGTACTTTACCTTTTCACGGCCTTTTTTAGAAAACTCTTGAGCTGTCGCCGTGATGGCAATTTTTCGCAGAAATTAGTGAGTATTTGATGAATCCATATAGATCCTCCTCCAACCCATCAATCTTCAAGTCAGCAAAATCTAACCCCTGGAATCAGTTGTTATACTGAATTCGGAACCGGCCGTGTCTTCTGCAGGTCGCCATGGAGCTACTGGGGTCGTTGGGTAGCTCTCGTAATAATCATCATTTTCACCTTCCTGATCTTCCTTGCATTTGCGTACGTTACCCTCCCCAACCCATCTACTTGAAACAATTACATCCCAAAAGAAAAAGAGGAAGAAAATAAGAAAGAAAATCAAAAGCTAACATGAAATCCTAACTTATGTACAGCTGCATCTCCTCCCGCCGCCGACGTCGTCGCGGCCAGCAACCCTTCCACGGGACCGGCTGGGCTGCTCAACCACCCTTCTGGCAACAGGGTCGGCAGCAGAACCAATATCAGTATCCCAGTGCTCCCCCACCCCAGTATACCCAGGGGAACTACTACGCACAAAAACCAACCCCTTTCGGCGGCCAGCAATATCCACCACAGGAACAGGGTGTCGAGCTGCAGCCTCCGCAAAATGTTTATCGAGCCGGTGAACAGGTCTATCAAGCACCAGTTGGTCCTCCTCCTACGATGAACAAGTAAAACTTGAAAATTATATAATAATTTCTTTCTTTCTTTTTCTTCTTCTATTTTTTTTTTCCCCTTCAAGAAACAATAGTGGGACGGACATGGGATTGGAATTGTGGATGTTATCTCTCTCATCAGAGAAAATGATACCCTCCTTTATAACTTTATTGCTTATGTGGTTTTCCTGTCGGCCTTTTTGTTCTTTTCCTTTCTTTTCTCATTCTTCGTATTGCATTTCAAGCATTGTGAGTTTCAGCATTTGATCTCTGTATTTTGCATGAAATCATTCTGTGCTTCTGGATGGATTCAGGGTAAATTGTGGATTTGAAACCTGAGCTGAGCTCTATGTGGCTGATGAGCGAACAAAGTTCTCTAACTTTTCTTTAAAGTCTCGGTCTGGTGCTACAATACTGAAGGGGAACTTGTTTTGTACCGTGATAAGGTCATTTGGCCTGTTTGAGTGAGAAGAAGGAGGAGGGTCAGGGAAAGGACTGAAGATATCGACATGCACGTGTTCATAACTATATCATGTTTTCAGGGAGTTTCCTCTGTCAATTTTCCATTCATTCCCTCCCACCTTATTCAAAAAAGCATGGTTTGCAGCCCGCATTTGTATGTATTCTGCATGGAACTTGCTTCTCCGATAGACTTGACTCAATATCATAATATCATGTATATATAGTGTTTTGTGTTTGTAGCTGCTCACTTTAGCACATTGCATATATTAAGCAATGCTCTGATTGAGTAGCTGCTTGTAAGTTATTATTATTTTAAGAATATGACTATGAGTAAATACGGAGTAGTTCCAAGATGAGATCATAACTGAAAGATTTAAAAACAGAGCCCAAGCACTGATGACTTCTTACCCCAAGAATCTGGTTGGGGGACACATACATGTTGGGGACGGTCTTAACTAAACATTTGGCATAACAAGCACTAAGTGTTAGTTAAAAGGCAATGTCTGGTAGCTTGGCGATCGCAATGGGGATTATGGGCTGACTCCCTTGGAAAAACTGAAAAGAGCGGAACTTGGCACTGGAATTTTACCTGAATGGATAAATTATAACTAAAAAAAGAACTTTTGCAGGGAAACCAGAATTCCTGCTGCAAACTGCCAGGTCTATGAGAAATAGAGGCGAAATAAAGATAAATACTTGCCATGAAATAAATACCCGGTTTGTGGGGAAATTTGGCAGAGAGTAAAAACCCATCTGTAAAAAGCAAATGAAATAATTAATAGCAAATAATTACCCGGATTGCATCCCGGACGAGCTGGAATAAGAAATGAAGAGAAGAATTGAAAAGGTGTCTGTTCAAGGGGCCGGTTATTAAGCAGACATTGATGATCGCTCGACCACGAACTGCAACCTCCGCAAGAAATCCTCTCTTTCCCCTTGTTTTATTCATCTTCTCCCAATCTTCATTTTTTCTTTCTTTCTTTCTTTCTTTCTTTCCTACTGGTTCCTCGTCATTGTCTTTGTTTCTCCTTCGTTTCGTTTTATTCTGCGGTCTCCAGCCGGCTAGCGACTCGAACTGCCGTTGCCATCACTTTACTTGCGTTCTCTACCATCATCTAAACATCTCAGCCTATTGACATAGGGCTTTATCGCAGTCCCTTGACTATTTTCCTTATCAAACCCTACGTCTGTCATTCCAGCTCTCTACGCCTAATGCATCAATAACTACGTTCGTACTACGACGACGGTTACGATTACTGGTATCCGAGGGTTGTCCTCCATGCACCAACCAGTCAATCTCCACTCCCAATTCGAAAGAAACGGATGTATCACACTTCCTGCATCCACATTGCTTTGCAATACAATTCCATATTGTCCCGATGCCTAGTCTATAGGTAGACTCATTTTACAACAGATATACGAGTTCAATTTCAATTATTCCCGTCGCCCAGTTGAAGATACGCTAATTCTGCCCGTCGCTGCTGACGACCCGCCCCAAACTATTGTTTTCGGTAGCCTTTAGTAAACATCTGGGCTTGAATAATCTACATTTTGACATCGGCAATTCCTGTTTGTCGGTACGATATCTCTATGATACTTGTACATATGCATCAGTGGCATAGTTGATATATAATAATATCGGGCGCACTCGTTTCAACTTCTTCCAATCGTTCACTGCCATTGCTGTCATGGATCCGCTCGGGTTCACCCCGTTCCGGAGAGAGGGTATTCTCCAACGTAGAGGTATCAGGCAAACCTTCTCCAGCTGGGATAGATGCATGGCCAGTGCCTATTGCAAGTATGTTACCTTCTACCCCTCCCTCTCTCTCTCTCTCTCTCAATTCCCGAACTAATGCAGCCAATTCAGGTGGCCTGCCATTGTCGCCATAATCATTGGTGGCCTCATTATCATTACAGTCCTCTGGGCCGTACTCGCCTGCGTCTGCTGCGGCTACACATGCTGCAAGGGCTGCTGCGCCTGTTGTAGTTGTTGCTGCCCCTCCTCTGGCAGCAAGTCTAAGGCCCGCGACCATTATAGCAATGAACAGACAGCTTACAACAATCAATATCCCTCGGGTGGCTATCAACATCCCCCCGCACCCCCGGTGTATAGCTTCCACCGTCCATCTCCAAAACAATACGCGCAATTCGACGTCACCCACTCACACACACAGACTAATGGCGATGCCCTCCCGGAAATGCCTATGTGGGAACCCGCTCCAACCCGCCGTGTTGAAGATACCTCTCAACCCTATGATCTGGAAATGAACACCTTAGACCCTGTCACAGGCCAAAACGTCAGCCGCCCCATGCGGGGAAACAATAATTCAAACCCCAACTCTCCTGCCTACACTTCCGCTTTTGACGGCTACTGCGCACCAGAACCCACAAACTACCACCCTGGAAACATCGCACGCACCCCGTCCCCAGGCGATCCCGTCGCCGCGGACGACATAGGCATCGCAACCAGCTACCCAAATTCGAATCAACAACAAACCCTTTACCCAAATCGCAACGCAAACCCCAACCTAAGCCCCCATTCTTCCACCTCCACTTACCCCCCCTCTAACGACGCCCCCATAACAACACACTCAACCACCTCCCGGCCATCCATAAACACCTACGACTTCCCGCGCAGATACCCGCCGTCACCAGTCCCCCATTCTCCAACAGCCGCACGCTCGTACTCGCCATACCCGCCTCCACAGCAACCTCTACCGCAACTACACAACTTGCAGCAGCAACAGCAGCCGTCACAGCAAGGATATAGGGCATATTCACCTTCAGTGCCTAACACCCCTCCCCCCCCATTCTCATCCACGCTAGGCGATTATGACCAGATATTGCCCGGGGCGCAGCATGGGCAGTATGGTGCTAGCGCTGACGACGAAGGTCCACCACCTTCGTTGCAAGTTGGGAGGGTCCCTGTATCCAATTCATGGAGGGAAGTATGAGCATGGAAACTCCGAATGAGGAGGGGGTTGAAGAGGAAGCTTTATATTTCGAAAGATGTATGAGAAATTTGGTTTCAAAGAATTTAGTTTCAATTTTCTACGGGACGTACCCATTGAACGAACGGAATAACGAATTCTGAGGTGTACATGCTTTGTTTTGATCACTTTTTATTTACCCTTTTGACTTCTCCCCTGGTTGTTTCTTTTTTTTTTTTCTTTTTTTGGCTGGCCAATTTTTGCTAACACTTATGTGGATGTTTGGTTTGGTTTGAGACCTCTTCCATTTCGTTTCTTTTTTCATTTGTCAAATTCTAAAGTAGAATTGGATGCTGGAGATTGAATGGGGATAAAGTGAAATATGAAATCAACTAAGGAAAGCGTGGGGATCTGCAAATCAAGTATTTGGAAATGAAACCTTTTTTACGTTCTATCTAACCTTCATTACTGACTTCATCGGCTTTTGAACATCAGTTTGTCACGTCCATATATATATATATATATATGCGTTGGTAGTGCTTGAATCTGCTCCCTTGTATTTTCCAAATTTCTCGGAGAGGTCCCTGTAGTCTGACTCTTTCTTCCCCTTAGGCTCTTTTTCCTCTCGTACTGTTCACTTCTACCTTCACCTTGTCTAATTCACTTCTCATATAATCTGAGTCATTTTAATGTTTTCGGCTGATGGATGTTTTGTACTAACCAACCACCAGTAGTATATCGTGGACTGGTTAAGATTGACCTGGAGGATTAAATGAGGTGGGGGTTACTCCGAACAGTCCAAGCGTGGTATAAAAGATTGTGAGGAATGTAATAAAATCACTATCATCAAGAGCAAATACACGTTGTGTGAGATGTTGTGTGAGGTATGACTAGTTGGTGTTGTAGTTTTCATTCTATTTTTAGATGGGATCATAGATTTGTCGGACCCTTCTGTAGTCACGTGACATAGTTTCCATAGAGAGTCGTTTTCGCAGTTGAACAACCTTTAACAATCGATCAAAGCTTGCCATTCTGTCAAGATCATCGAGGTTTTAAAGAGTGGGCTCAAGGTCCTTACCCTTACCTAACTAATCCTAACCCTAACCCTGGGGGCGGTGAGGTATGTGCAGAGTGTTTATTTTAATAGATTGACCAGAGTTTATCATAGTTTTAAAAAGGAACTAAAGCTTAAACCAGATCATAGGGACCTAACTGAAAACAAGAAGATCTCTTTCTTCTTTCTTTTTCACAAACACCCCGTCGCCTATTTCAACATTTCTTCATAGCCTATTATTCGTAAGATCTTTAGGCTCTCCATGATTCCCCGCGCTTATAACACCTGCCATATACCCGCACTGCAGAAAACCAGTTGTTAATGCACCAGAACAACCAAATCAAACGCCAAAGGATCAAGGGAAAAGGGAGAATTAAGGGGAGGAGGGGGGGGGGGGTTACCAATTCATCAAGGTCCCCATCTCCACGACACCCAGGCCACAGAAGAAACACTAACGGTAGCCACATCATTCGACCCAACAATTGTCGTAGGGTTGCATAAGCTTGCAATGGCGGGATTTTGTATTCCTGCAGATGCGGCCCGACCCCGCATTGGATTTTCTTCAATGTATTTATATTTGGGGTTAAAATACTATAGATAACCTCTGAAGTCTGATTAACCAATTAAAATCAATGATGATAGGCATCATGCAAGATGGCCCGGCTGTATAAATGAGGGGGTATGTGGCAGTGAAAATCGTGTCCACCGCGTTCTAGAACCATGATTTGACTCAACATCGGGCTACATCATCATCCCGGCGCTTGACACGGTGGGGGCAGAGATCCGGATCAATTTGAGGAAACCTGTGACGCAGCATGCGAAATAATTTGCTGCCCCCAAGCTCAAGTAGCAACTTTTGGAACAGAAGATGACAAATTCATGACAGAAATTGGTTAGCCGTATTTGAAGGAGGACGGGACATTAAACCCTTTTTGTCGGAGTGTGTCAGATATGGCAATGAACAAGGTTTGGCAGGAGACTTTTATTCAATAATTTGTCAACGCGCATTTCTATCCAAAATAATCTTAAAACGGTCTTAATATTTGTCTATGCAGCATCAACTTCCAAGGTTGGCATAGCGTAGTAATTTAGCGACGTCTTGAATGTAAAGACAATGGAGCATCATTTCCAGTTATGGAAATGTAAGTGGTGACAGGATTTCATATTATTCATGCAGGCTGCCGATAATGGCGTCAGCTAACCAGTGGGGTTTGAAGCGTGTGTCATGATGAGGTTATTTTTCATTCTTGAACAGGAGATTAAAAACGACTACATTTTCTTGTATGGCACGTCTTGGACCCTCTGTAAGGGCAACGGAGGAGTAATGGATGCATCAGATATAATCCATAACACCCGGTATTAGGACTTGTCGTTGTGGCTGATGTTGATGTTGGTGAGGTTGGTGAAGTTTGATGTGTAGTTCCTGCGCTAACTTGAAAATAAAAGCGCTAAGCGCGCATTAGCCGCGCTGCAAAAAACCTGCTAAGGCTTACCTTACCCTGAAGAGATCTGAAACGTCAATCTTAGCAATTCCTATAACCTACAACTGCTAATACGGAGGGTTCGGCACCTTGGTCGTCTCAACCATCAGTCTATAGCAATTTGTCAATGCTTCCAGGAGTTCACTGGGTGTTTTGGAATGTCCAAAAAGGAAAACTATTACGCCATTACACATCCCTCCTCGTCCTCTTTCTGCTTGTGTGCCCCTGCCTTTGGCCTTGGCTTTTCAATTTTGAAGCTGCTAAACAGCTATAGCGGTCTCAGTTTGTCCAATGCTGCTTAGTGGGATTTGCTAATCTCATATTCGGTATGAGGCAAATCCAGAAAGAGAAATTTGATCTCCAATATCCCTATCGTGGTAAACGGTACTTGACGGGTGACTCTCCTATTTCATAGCAGCCAAGAACATTCTGTTCAGAGGTAAAGCCGCATATCTGTGTCAGATGGCTGTTGCTCGAGACTCTGCGGGGCTTGGCTCGCAGATTTCGCATGTTTTTCTATGCCCACTTGAAGATGTCTGTTCCTTTGAGGCTTACGGCTTCATCTCAAGACGCCTTCGGACTTAATCTGATCGCGGTTGCGAAAATATATAAAGAGAGAGTTGTGCCGCCTCTCCATGCTAGTCTCTGTTTATTTCGGGTTTTATCTCTGTGTTCATTCTTTTAGTTTGCGGTTGTTCTTCTAAGCTGGACTTTCTGGGCTTCTCTCTAGACTTATCATTTTAAGTTCTATTCTTGGACCCACTGCTATACTTGCCCCTTACTTTGATCCAGCACCAGATCAGGCCATCTGAGATATCTTCGTACTGGTCAAATCGGCAGCAATCTCTGCTCCTTTGACATTAATATTTCTCCTGGGCCGGGCTGGTCTCGTCCACTCTCTGTTTAGCTAAACCAAATTATACTTCAACACCACCTTAATTTAAAATGAAAATCCAGAAGCTTCTCCAGGCTTTGTCCTTGGCCGCCTTGGCCTCTGCCAGGCCACTTCCTCATAAAAGTCCTGGATCCGGCCTCCGAGTCCGTGAATTTCCCCAGGAGTTATCACATTTTAAGTTTGTGAGCTCTGTTCAGGAACTCCTTCAACTTAATAACCCCAATCAGATTGAAGATGCCATTTTTGGACTATTGGATAATGAGGTATGTATTTTAATTCCAAAATTTTATGCAGTTCCAGGAGCATTACACTACCTCAGAAGAAGAATGGGTGGCTCACCACTAACTACTATCCTATCGTCAACAGGGTGCAGAAGCCGGAGCTGGACAGATCGAGGACCTTGATTGCCTCCAGCAAGCGATTGCCGATCAGGCATTTACTAATGCCAAAGCAGCTGGCAACATCCAAGGCATGACAGATGCGCTCATCTACCGTGCTCTGGAGCGCAACACCGGAACCGTCGGGGAGGCCAGTGCGCGTTGTGGAAGCATCGAAGCTGTCAACCCCGAGATTGCTGCGATTTCCCAGCACCAAGACCCAGCCTCCGAGGGCGCAGCTGAAATAAACAAGAAAATCACATTGGATTTAGCTGTTCAGATTGCCTCCATTAGTGGTAACCCGCTGCAAGCTATCGAGAGTGGCACATTCGAGCCGGGTGATGTCAACGATGCCACCGGAACCGGGAACACTTGTTAGTTTACTTTGTACCCTTCTTGATCTTCGTACCTAGCATCCACTCGAATGTAAGAATACTGACACCCGTTCACCACAACTTTAGGTAACACTGAGGGAGATGAGGAGGGATGTATCTTCACAGAGAACCTCCTTGTCCCTGACGTCTCTGAAGACGAAATCAACGGTGCAGTCGCAGAAGCCGGTATCGACGTCAATGCTGCTGACGTTGACGCTGACGCTGAACCTGTCCCAGACCAATGCTCAGCTGCAGTTGCGCAAGCACTCGAAAAAGCAGCCAAGGCTACCGCAATTACTACCACTAAGGAAAAAGCAACTGCAACTGCAGTGGCAACGACAAGTGCAACAATAGCGGCAATTACTACAACAGCCTCAACCTCAAGTGCCGCCGCGTCGACTGAAAGCGCCAATAACCGAATTCAAGGCTTTCAAAATGAAGCTAACATAGTTGAACCCGCTAATATACTGGGCGAGGGAAATCGGAATGAAGCTGGGAGAGTTGGATCCTCTAATAGAGCTTCCAATCAACTCGTCTCTTCTGGATTTTTCTCCTCCTCCTCCTCCCACTCTTTTCCTTCAATTTCCTCCTCCTCGGCCTCTGACTTGGCACTGATCGTCCTGGATCTTGATTTCGGTATTTGCGTTGGTGGCAATCCACTCATTGTCTTCAACAATAACTCGTACTCTCCCGTTGACTTGACCTTCTTCAACCACTCCTCAGTGGTTTCGATCGATATCCTTATCATCTTTATCTGCAGCACCTTGTCAAACACATGTTTTGCCAGCAGTTCCGTTATTGAGGCGTGTCTCCTTGGTCAATCTCTTGCAGCGAACAAGTTCGGCCTTGCGGCTGCTGATGCGTTCAACAGTGCATTCCTTTTACTTATAGATATATAAAGAAAAGAAGGCTGATGTCTGGTGGTAGTTGGCTAAGGTGGATTAGGTTCTTTAGGGGGCGCTTTTAAAGGAGGGTTTTTCGCACTGGTGGATAGGACAGGGTAAGCAAGCGAAACCGCAGAAAATTGAAGGGGAAATCTAGAAAACCAGATCAAAATACGGCAAAATGGCTTCTGGCGGGTCCCTAGCTGATCAGATATATCTATGAGTTGGATATACCGATGATTATTTACGGTTCATGTCGTTTTTTCTCGTATTTTTGGTTCCTAGGTATTATTTTCAGTCATGTATTTCCATCCTGTTTTATATCCTTCACTTACTCTTCAATCCGCCCCTTTGATAGGGGATGGTGATGGATTATACTCTGTGATTTTATAGTGCATATCTAGGTAGCTAACTTTAAAAATGGTTTGAAAATTGGGAGGTTTGGTCTTTGTTAGCTATCATAAAGTGATATTTTTTGACACCTTGTTCCCTAGATCTTGCACACTTGGCCCATTTTACATCGTCTTCGGATTCCTACTGGTAACAGCTAAACCCACGAGTAGACGACTTTTCCATAGATTTACCATCCCGCTTGGCTAAATAATAACATTCTACTTTAATTCAGCGGCAGGATCAACTTGATTTAATAAAGAGCAATGTAAGTTTGTACGTCCAGCATCCTGTAGCTTATGGATGGGTAGTTATTCCCAAGTTGTCAGGAACTGGAAAGTCTCTACACATTTTAACAACTGATATGGTACCCTCGACGTAAGAATATTTGAACAATGAATACAGACCCCTTATATCTAACAGACTGACACCAGGAGGGAAGACACAAATGAGTCGTCGAAGCGGTTTGACAAACAAAAACACTCGTACCCCGAATCCAGATACCACTCAAAACCATGCTAGGGGGCGAACTACGGCTCTTCCTTCAGCTTCCGCGATGGCCTGAGCCTCCTTTTGATGATCCACGAAGCACTTCCCTCTCCATCACACATTCCCAAAGACACTTGTCCCTCGGGGGACGTGATTAATATTAGAATACCCGCACGGAACACTGGTTCAAATGGCAAATCCGGATACCCGTTGTTGTTTCTGCGCTCATTGAAGCTTATTTCGTTGGGCGAAATCGTGGTAGACAACAAAGCATTGTCCTCTGATTTAACCCTCTTTTTGGATGGGCCGTCGGATAAAGACGTGGACCTGAGCTGTTCGCTGAGACTTTCTGATGCTGATTTGGCGCCGTATTTGGCGCCTTTCCCCCGCCGTCTGCGGTATTGGAGAAGGCTCATCCTGCGCCTTAGCTTGGATTGACTGGTGGCTGATAATTCAGCAACTTTCGGGAGATCGGTGCAGGGAGTCCATGGAGGCGAAGCTGGTGAGGCCATATAAGCGGCTTGAAAAAAGAATTCTTTCAAATGCTCAGACTAGCTTGCAAAGAGCCCGTTCTGCGTCATCTAAAGTCGCTGGACAAAATGACAGTTGGCTATGACGACTAGGCTCATATAGGACTCGGAGGATCTATTCAAAGTGAAGTGAAGGGTATTTGTGTGTAAGGTAGACTTCGTGCATGTCGTGTCTTGAAAACATATTAGCCATTACTGCCAATAAATTGGGAATCTTCAACTGACCGAGTTTTTCACTGCAGGGGATTCATCTCTTATTACCTACCTAAAAAGCTTTCTCATCCGTTACAGCCCACGTGAGATATCCGCCCGAGAGTAAACATGGCGAGATCGCTGCAGAGCCCAGCGACTCACACCCCAGGGAAAGCGGGCAGGAAGAGATACAAGAGAGAAGGCCGAGCGAGCAAACGGGGTAAGACCGACTTATGCCGACTGTGGGGAAGTCCGATTTTTAAAAGGGAGTAACGCGGGAGACATTTTGTGAGCTCTCACAGGAAGCGGCAGGGGCAGTTCCAGAGTCACTGGGGGGAGGAGAGATGGAAAATTGGATGATGAGCCGCAAACTTGGAGCGTTAAATAAGCAGCAAGAAATTATGGTGTTTCTGCTTCAGTTATCTGGTAAAGGTACATAGAGACCAGTTTCATTTGCCGTCGATACTTAAAGGGAAAACGGGGTACATGAATGGGCAATGGTTAATACCTGATAATGGTTAGTTTCGCACAGGTGTGTCCTGCTCGCCGTATGCCGCCAGATTACGGCCACCGGATGACTTAAGTCACATACGCAACTTTAAGTTGGGAGGAAAAAAAGGCTGAATAAAGTATTGCCAAGGGGGAGCGGCAGTCGGCAGGTGAAGAAACAGTCGCTGATCCCGTCACTTTTGAGTTGTTCCTGTTACCCTTCCCGCGCTATTCTTCCAGCGAAAAGTCAAACTTCTCAAAAGCCTTCCTGAAGTCATCCGCATCAGCTGTCTCTTCTTCCTGTGATTGGATATCATCTCTCCAGTTCATCCTCTTCTCGAGTTCGAGGAGTTTAGCCATCACTCGCCTGCCAAACTGAAGATCGAACCTGAACTCCGGCGACAGAGGGAGGATCAGAGTAGTTTCCGTGCCTGGTTTTACCCCTTCCCCTGCCCTTTCTCCGCCGTCCAAGGCTCTCGGCGAAGGGCTCCAGATCTTTACTCGAAAGTAATCTCCCTTTTGCAACGTACTGTTGTCCACCTTCTGGATTTTCGGGTAACTGAGATTTTCGGCTTCCACCTTGAAAGCCGCCTCTACTAAACCACCGGTCACCAGGTCCGAGGGAACTGGAAGGAATTGCCAATGGATGTGTATCCCATTACTGCGGCTTACTTCCCAGGTGACCGCGCCCAGCTCGCCTTGGGATCGTTCATCCAGCATAGCATGCAGGGCGGACCGGTATCTCTGCATCTCTTGGATAGTAGCTACCTTCGAATTAGAATCTTCGATTTCATCGAAAGTCGGTGCATGAGTTAAAGGTATTATTAACAAGTGTCCGGGAAATCCTAGACTGCGGAATGTAGCAGAAGTAGGTAACGGGCCCTTTGCAGTTGTGAGATAGCTATCTGAGCCTATGGACGTAATGAGATGAGTGGCAATATTCGGATTTGACAAACAGAAGAAGCATTCTGAAGGCCCCAGCGGGGGTCTTCGAATACGCTTGCTAGGTCGATGATAGTCATCCCCATGTGCAAAGCGACTAAAGGACTGTTGCTGGCCCGGGAGAGCATGTCGCTTTTTTGACGCAAAGAGGAGGAGTGGCGATGCCGTAGTACCAGGTGGAATAGCCGTTAACGGAGCTGCTTGTGGATCCAGAGTGAAAGCGTACAGCCATTTTTGATTTGATGACTTGCTGAACGGAGCCAGGTTGATGAATCGAGTAATTTGTTTTACATCAGGAGCCTCTTCTGTGGGGAGGTGAAAGAACGGCTCGCGCTCGTAAAAGAAAGGGGCGCCTGACGAAAAATGATATCGAGGTTTCAAAGTCACGCAGAGGTCTGCCACGCATTGTGTGCCTTCGGGTACTTTGGCATTCTCTGGCAACGACACTTCTGAGCCATTATGAATCGATTTTGGCCATTGGTTTGTTATTAAAATATGCGCGCCGTGAGCTTCGAATAGCGATCTGGCATCGAATTCTGTGTACCGGGGTAAGTATTTATCGCTTAACCCTGACGCAGGCGTTGCGGAATCTTCAAAGCTACCCCCCAGCGCCACAATTTCGATGCCTTCGGATGTTTTGAGGGTTCCACGTCTACCAAGAAAATAGAGATTCGGACAGACTTCATCATCAGATTCAATCTTTTCAATGACTCGTTTTGGAATCGTGTGATTTCCAACAGTAAAATAGGTGGGTAACGGCACTTTGATTGTACCATTCAACAATGCCGTAATGTCCCTCAGTTCCTCCTCACTTGATCCATCTCCGAAAAGCTCCCCAGCGATAATAGCGAAAGTAAAGTTCTGCTTGGTCTGCAGCTTTGCCAGCTTGGTGAATACTTCTCTGATTGAGCAGTTTACACTCCCCACAACAATTCTGTATTCAGAGTTAGCCCAGTACCCGCATAACTGGAGTGCAAGAGCACCGTTCTTACATTTTAGATGCCATAGTCATCTATAAAGGCGGTAATATTATTTAAAGCCCTGAAAGACGAGTGGGCACCGCCGTTGATCGTGCTAGTTAGTGAACTGGTGATTCAATTAACGTAGTTAATTCCGGATCACGCAAGCGAATGGATCTTCAATTTCAAATTCTCATCAATTTTCTAACTCATTCACTTCAACGCGTAATTATGCCGTCAATTTGCAACAAAAATGCAGGAAGCTCTATAGAAATAGAGTTGAAAAACAGCGGTTATTCACTAATTGAATTCTACATTATCCTTGTCTGGAAGAATGTAGGTTGATAAATTGCACTTTGGTTGCACCACTTGCTTTGGTGATTCCGTCACGTGATATCTACTCTGGATGATAACCGAAAATGAAAAATAAAATACGACTTGCCCCTTATGAATTCATTTTGCACCTCTTATAGAAAGGCAAAATGCCAGAAAGATGGGATCGTACTGTATGTACATTATCAGAGAGCTTTGCCTAACCCTTGACTAGTTATTGGTTAAGCTACGTCGAACCCGAACCGACCTCAAATCACTTCCTCACCCGCGCCAAGAACAGTGACATAACCGTAACTATATTTCTGTTAGCTCGATTTGATAATGAACATCGTCAAAAACAAAAGAAATTGGAAGCCATCGGGAGATTTCACCATTTATCAGCCACTGCTCTTCGCCGCATTGGACTAAAAATGCCTTCCATCGAGCTTCTCACAAATGTTGCTCTCTCACGCGAACAGAGCAAGGAACTCGCCCTTTCACTCTCCAAGGCGTCAGCGAGGATCCTTAAAAAGCCCGAGTCTTTCATTTCAGTTCAAATCCGCTCTGATGAGATCTTGACGTTTGCGGGCACTCACGATCCATGTATGTACCTTATCTACACATCTGCATTTATGTATCACATGCGAAGAACTAATAATCATGGCCCCATTAGGCTTTCAAATGCGCATAACTTCTCTGGGCAATCTAAACCCGGCCGATAATGTTAATTTCTCCAAGGCCTTTACTGATTTTCTCAAGGAGGAGATTGGTGTCACGAACGATAGAGGTTATGTTATCTTTTACGATCCGGGTAAGTTGGCTGCTGGCCCGTTAACGGAGTGTGAGATCTTTTCTGAACAGATTCTGACCTCTTTCGCAGACTATGCAAATCTAGGATATAAAGGGACAACTGGTGCTAAATTATGGTGCTGAAGGGGTAAACGCTTACACGCAGACGTGTAAGGCATGAAACTATCGCCCACCTTGAGGCTTAGCATACGCGAGAGGTTAATTGCTCTTGTCATGTTGACATGGAGCCTCTTTTTTGTTTTGCCTTGGAATAAAAGAAACCCTTTGTCATTTAGCCTGATAACGAGATTTTGCATCGTTTATCTGTTTGAAATTTTATTTTTGCTCCGCTATCATGGTCTTTTTCATATCCCAATGAATCATCGGCGTTACGATTCTCAGGTAAGACAGTCCGAAACCCGAACAGATGCATGGATGATCTTTTGTAGATTCTAACTCAAGTGTAATCGAGCCCATATTACGCAAGTAGAGGAACGTATAGTGATGATAGCTTGCAATGTGCAGGAATATCTCACAATTCGCTGGTTAGGATCCATATCACGTGATTACACAGCAATCAGATAAGATAAGGAAACCCCGGATTATCATTTGACCGACGCGATCACTTACTTTATTTTCTCTTTTGAAGCTTTGAATAATTCGGAGGAAATCAAAAATTGCTTGAAGCGAATAGTTTTGGCAGCCCAACAACATGGCGACCGTACCTCCAGGACGCCGGGGCAAGCCTTCCAATCTCATAAAGAAAGGTACCGCAACGACAAAATCTCACCGGTTCGAATCTTTCTCCAAGCGCATCGTCAAGTTAAAAATTGATCCCATCCATCGTGTGCGCCGCAACAGCATTGGCGATGACAGCGATACCGAATCGGATTCATACTTCAGGGCGTCCCTGGAGTACTGGATAGAACTTAATCTATCCGAGAATTTTACCCAGTTTTCCCAGCGCGTAAATCGGCTCAGTGAGAGTTTACCACAGATTCTACATCATGAGGATCGAATAATGGGATTGTTGGCCGAGTACATAGGGAAAAGGGATGAATTGAGCCTGGAACCTCTTCTCAGCCTGGTGGCTCAATTTAGTCGGGACTTGGGTCAGCGATTTGAAAGACATTTCGCGTCAGCTGTCACATTAATAGCATCCGTCGCTGCTACACATCCAAATATCGAGGTGATAGAATGGAGTTTTACATGTCTGGCTTGGATTTTCAAATTTCTATCCCGACTCCTCGTTCCAGACTTACGGCAATTTTTGGGAATAATGTCTCCCTACCTGGGAAAAGAACGCCAAAAGCACTTTGTGACAAGATTTGCGGCGGAGTCCATGTCCTTCCTAATACGCAAGGCCGCCCTTGTTTACTACAAAAATAAGTCACCTCTTGAAAAAGCTGTTACCTATCTTTTTGAGGATCTCGCCAATACAGATGGACCACGCCAGATTTTAATGTATCAACAGGGCCTCATGTCAATGTTTGCGGATGCAATCAAGGGAGTGAATAGTGCCATTCATTCAAATGGAGCAGACATCTTACGATGCCTCATCAATGCTTCTGCTGTGCAAAATGCAACCCAAAGCGCCCTCACAGAGCAGATTCTTAACGGGATTGTCATTAATTTGGTTCATCACACATCTCCCGACACTTTTGGCTCAGTTTTTGATGTGATCTGTGACCATGTCGAACATGCTAAGCCTAATGGCAACGTTGCAGTGACAAAACTAGATATCCGCTTAGTTTTTGTTAGCGTAACCGCACGCAAAGGTTCTAGGATTAAAAACTGGAAGAGGGTACATCAAAGCCTCATCACGCTTCTGGGTCGCGTCATTGAATCGCCCAATACCCCTGTCTATTCGATCCAACTGCTATTAGCCACAGTGGCGGCTGCGGTTCAGACGTCCCCTATGGATGAGTTGTTGTCATTTATGCGCCCTCTCATGAAATCCATTAGTAATGAGAAATTTAGCGAGTACTTCTTGCCATTCTGCTCGTTATTCTCCTCATTCGGAACCGAGCGATTTCAAACTGTTGTCCTCCCATACTTTCAGCGGTCAGTGAAATTTGTTCATCTTAGTCCAAATGCAAATCCTGATATTTGTCTTTAGGTTCATCACTTCTCTCTGGAAAGACTACGAATCTGGACTTTGCCTGATATTACCGAAACTTCAGGCTGCTCGTTGCATCACATCTGAACCTAATAAGCTTGGATCGGTAGTGTGCCCCAACAAATGGAAAGATGCAATTATGGAAAGATTCATCAAACCAGATCTCACAGACCAAGATGTCGCTTTTCTACATTCATATACAAAACTACAGGATGCCATATTACTTTCCTCCGAACCTTCAATCCTTCCACAACTTGTCCAGCACCTCCATATTCAACTGAAGGCTGCGATGGCACCCTCTACCAACCTCCGCGAGAGCCAAATTACCTTCGCCCGAGGCCAAGGATTTTTAGCATATGTCCGCCTTGCTATCAAATTAGGCTCACTTGATCTATGTCTTTGGAATAAGGTGGTGTTGATTGGTCCTGAGTGCTCACATTGTCCAGTTTTCCTCGAAGCAATATTGGCTTATATGTCTGCTTGTCCCAAAAACGATCAGGTATCAGACGAGGGCCTCGAACCATTTGCTACCGCTCTTATTGGTAATCTTTCCGGCTCATCACATAAAATCAGATTACTCTCCCTCAAGATTCTACAAACATTGCTCTCCAGGATGAACGACAGCGATAATACGTACATAGCGATAGCGATTGAAGTTGAACAAAGCGAACTGAGTCTCCAAACGTCAAGGTATCTATCGATGCAAATCCGCAAGCTTGCTATCGGTTATGCGGCAGCGTCAACCCAAAAGTGGCTAGATCGAATTATTCCAAATTTCTGCTTTGGTCTGCTATCGAAAAGGCTGGCATCACTATGGGATGATGCGTGTGATGCGATCAAAGCAATTTGTGAGGTTCAAAATGGAGAGGCCATAGTTGCAGAGCTTGCTATTCGCGGATTGCGAGAACTCAGTCCCCTTGACATGGAAATGGGTGCGCCTGAAGCAGAATCCGAGGAACCAACCGCTACGTCTGAATTTGAGTGCTTTAATATTTCAAATATCGAAAAAACCGTGTCGACCTCTTTTACTGATGCCCAAAATTCTAATCTTTTACTTATAGAAGACTTCAAATCTGCTCATTCAACGTCAGCACAAAGTTCTACCTCCCCGCGATCACAGGCTCTTAAAGTCTTGGGAGCTGTGCCTCAAGTGGCAGAAAAACGATCCCGGCAATTCGTTCCCTTATTTCTATCATGGGCAACTCATGACGAGGACATTTCTACTATCATCAAACCAAATACTTCTGGCCAGCGGCCTGCAGATGATAGTCCCTCTTCCCCATGGAATATACGGGATCGGAAAGCCATGCTCAGCGTATTTGGGCAGTTCATCAACCCGAAAGTTTTGTACAAATCGTCGGAGGTACATGAAGCTTTGCTTGGGCTTCTATGTAATGGAGACACGGAAATTCAAAAATCCGCCTTAAAAGCTCTCTTTACCTGGAAGTCACCCGCCATTCAACCTTACGAGACCAACATAATGAACATTGTGGATGACGCAAGATTCAGAGATGAACTGTCAGAATTCGTGAATGCTAGCCAGGAGAACAGTACGATTAAGGAAGATCACCGTCCTGATATTTTCCCTTTGTTATTGAGGCTCCTTTATGGTAAGATGGTCGCTCGTGGAGGCTCCGGGGGGGGACAGGGGACACAAGAGGGGCGCAGAAAAACAATTTTAAGGATAATATCTCAACTCTCCGAAAATGACTTCGGCCACTTCGTTAAAATATCATATGGTCCGCTGGGCGATGTTCGTGTTCTTGAATCCGACTCTAAGCAGCGCCAATATCTGGACCAAGAGATAATGGGCGTCAGAAAGCAATATGGTCTACTAAAAATGGTGGAAACTATGTTCAACACCCTGAAAACCAAAATGTTTCCCTATGTCGACCTCTCCATGAATGTGATCTTATACTGCCTCATTCGAGCATGTAGGCAGTTGATGGACAACAGCTCAGAAGACAACCAGACGTCTCTCATCCGCAACATTCGCCAGTCAGGTACTCATTGTCTCGCTTTGGTATTCACAGTTTCTCCTGACTTCGATTGGAATCCATATATGCCTTTAATTTTTAGTGAGATTATCAGCCCAAGATTGGAAAAGTTCGCTGTGGAAACAGCGCAGGGCGTGTCCGGCTTACTCCGTCTCTTCCATACTTGGGCATCCTATCCCAAATCAGCAATTTACTTTCTCCACGGTGACCAACCCGTAATTCAACGAATAGTTGATTGTGTGGGTGTGGAATCTGCTCGCGAGGACGTTAAAATATTTGTTCTGTGCGAGATCCTAAATGGGCTTATTAATGTCGCAAATAAACAGTCAAAAGACCCGGAGAATTTGCCAGACGCTTCAACAACAGATATAGTCCGGTCAAAGGTTTTAGGACCTCATGTCGAATACATGTTAACTCATCTCGAGTCTCTACTCAGAAAGCAATCAAGTCGCCAATTGAAGATGGCTGCAATCGACACACTATCAAACCTTGCTCCGTTCGTCCAATCCTCACAAGAAACCACGAAGCTAATTAGTACGGCTACGTTCCTTCTTAATGAACCCGCAGATCGAGTTCCTCCCAAAGCTAAAAGTGGGCTCCTGCGTGTCATGCAGCATTTCCTACCGCTTTACGACCCGCGAGATAACGAAGATCTTAACAACCGTATCTTTGAGGTTATCTCCTCACTATTCGATTACTTCAAAGATAATCCCAACCGCGAAGTGGCCTCCTCCGTATTATTTGCGTTCGCAGACCACGAGACTGATCTTAAGGATGTTGCCTTACTATGTGCGGATCTCAATTCTATTTCTAGCAAAAAGCTTGACGAGTTAGATTTTGACAGGAGGCTTAAGGCATTTAATATTATCAATGAGCAAAAGTACAAGGAGTTCACGGCCAGACAATGGCGCCCACTATTGTACAACCTTCTTTATCATGTGAAAGATCAGGAGGAACTTGCAATTAGATCCAGTTCGTCATTCGGGCTAAAAAGATTTGTGGAGAGCATAGTTCCAAAGTTAGACAGC